GGAATCCAAGTAGGGCTTGGTGGGTAAATTTGGTTTTTCAATTCATTGTATTTGCCGTGGAAATAGATAAATAGATTGAATTTAGGAATAAATAGATTTGTAGATTGGATTCATGGATGTAATGACATTTTAAATTTGGACCATTATGAAAGCGTTGAAATATTTAGGAAATAAATTATAATTACAAAAATATTTAGGTATCAAAATATAATTGTTACTAATATTTTCATTAGAAAATTGAAGTTTAGTTTATGTATCGAATTGTAAAATTATAAAATATAGAGATACTAACCTGTAAATTTTCAATAATATTTCAATCCAATTCATTGGATTTGAATTTAATGAATATGGTTAATAAAAAATTGAACTGATAGATCATATTGGATTCAAATTGTCACCTAGTTAGTTATTACATCTTTATTCCTTTTTTCGTTTTCTTTCCGTACAATGGCTTGAGTTTTCCAAGTTTGTGTTGCGGTCATGGTGATGCTTTTAGTAGGATGGTGATAGATGGTGGGAGAGAACGACAGATGGTGATTATATATTTTCATACTATCATAATATACTCTTTTCATAGTACCATGATGGTAATATTTTATGTTAGAAAAGCTTCGAATTTGTTAGAAAATAGAAATACATCAAACTGGATACTATTTTGTAAGATACAATTAATCGCATTTAAAAAAGAAATAAAAATACAGTCCACTATATTATATTTTGATGACTACTATTCGCGACGACTTTGATTGTCCGTCCCCATAAATCTAGCAGTACTTCAGACTCGTGACAAAATCGTACCTCTCGTACCGAACACAACACATCTCCGACGATGCCTGAGCTCCGACCCTGTCACGGCAGCGGTCTTGTACGAACTCGCCCGCCTGCAACAAACACTCGTAGCATTCTGTACTGTTGATATGACTTGAATCGGACTATCAGCCGCTACGACTGGTAATCGGGGGTCTCGCTGCCCGGTCAGCGAGTGGGGTCCAGGGGCAACGCCCCCGGCCCACGGTGTATGGGCTCAATGTTATTTGGGTTCGGGTTCTGGGCCTGGTCTGTAACCGTTTCCTTTACCAGATTGGATTAGGTTTAGACCCACATGGAGAAGTACTATAAATACTTCTCATACTCCTCTGTAATCTGTAATCTCCTCGATATAGTGAAACTGGCTTTCTCTCGCCCGTGGACGTAGCTAACACACATCGTGTTAGTGAACCACGTAAATCGTGTGTCGTGTTTTCGATTCTCGTTTTCGTATTCTTGCTTTGTCGATTCCTGCGATTTCCCGATCCGTAACAGCGCGTTTATAACATGTACCGATGTAGCCTGGGCCGCAAGACGCGTAGCTGAAGAGCTCAATATCTGACGAATGATCACGGCTGTAACGTCTTTGGTAGCAGACGCCGGCCCTGCCGCCGGGAAACCGATGGGCGAACTCGTTAGTGATGTCGGTCAGTACGGACGGCTGGACGCGCGACGAACCGATAGGCAAGCTGTCTTCGTTGCAGAGGTGGTTAAAGGAGTCGTCATACGTTCCCCCAGCAGGAAGGCATACTTGATGATGATCGTTTAGATCTTCGGTGACGGCGAAAGCAAAGCTTTTAGTGACGAAGAACCCGGCCGCCGACGTAATTGCCACAATCATGAGAAGTTGGACCTCGAAGCGATTCCGAGCCATTGATGCTCTATATATATATATATGTACCTAACGACGGCACTATGTATATATATTTTCCCTGATACATGAAAGTCTTGAATGATTAATTGTATCCAACTGAAAGGCATCTTTTGGAAGAATTGTGGCCGGCCAACACAAAGTTAGGTGGCCGGCCGTGGTATCAACTTTTTGTGAGGATTTTGATTAAACGAGGGCTGTTCATCACCAGCAAGTGAAAAGAAAGAGTATGTCACGTAACATTTACTATTACTATATAACTAATTAAACTTAGGAAGAGGCTAGCTAGGAGAGTAAGGAAGAAGTGTAACTGGGTGGGATTTATGGCCAATATTATTATTACTATCAATATAATCCTCTAATCCTTCTGTAATGTAATGCGCCAATTCAGTCCATCGATCGTAATCATTGATTATGATCTTTCACAGGCAGGGGATGTGATTACTGTTTGAGGAAAATAAACTCTAGTGTAGGTTACCGAGTGATTATAATAAAGTTATATATACATGATTTTGTCTGCAATACTAGTCACTTTTTTTATACATTCACCGCACTCTTTATGAGAAGGGTGAAACAACGTCAATTATCATTTGCGATATGATGGACAATAAAAAAATATTAATTTGAAGAAAAATCATTCGAGATTTACTTTGATTTGAAAAATTTAGGGTTAGTGATTTTGGATTAAGATTTATAATTTGGGAATTTATGGCTAATTAAGATTCAAAAATGAAGGTTGAGGACTTAGAGTAATGTATTAATTAGATATAATCTTATGTTATATTATCATATTATATTTTTTGTACCAAAAATATCATATTAGACTTTCTATCAATTAATTTCAAAATCTAATTTCTTATTATTAAGTATTAACATAGTGACACATAAACAAAGTCAAAGAATTCACACAAATTAAATAAATATCGTTTTTACGTGTGAATGGAGCAATGTAGACCATTTAATCTCAACTCTCAAGAGATTAGATCTTAGATTCATGTGCTCAAGTTGGTTTTTCTTTGCATGACCATTGGGGCGAGATAGCATGACTATCCCTAAAAGGGGTTGGAAAAATGGCACCCCCTATTAATTATAAGATTTTAAGGTAATCAATTTGTATTGCATTTAATTATCTGTCTGAATTAAAAACTCATATTAATTACTTTCCTTTTTCAGTGCAATGGTAGTTGTACCAATACAATGATATATGTGTACAAGTGCAGTGATAGTTGTATCAGTGCAATGCTAGTTCAAAAAAAGGAATGTAAATAATATGAATTCAGTGTACAGGTGCAATGATAGTTGTATCAGTGCAATGATAGTTAAAAAAAAAGAATGTAATTAATATGAGTTTTTAATTCCCAAAGATTATTAAATACAACATGAATTTAATACAAAAAATAACTATAATTAATAGGGGTGTCATTTTTCCAACCTTAGAAGAGTTAGCAAGCTAACCGATCCCATCACCATCTACAACTATCCTTTTGCACTAAAACAAAAGGGGAAGGTTTGATGACGGACAGCGTATGTCGTCTCCAAAAGTTGGAAATGTTTTCACTATGGACTTTTGGCAACAATTTTATAGGTTAAATATCTATGGATGTCAATGGTATACATGTAGTTAAGAAAATTGATATATTGTGGTTTACGATTGTTTGATTTTTTTATATAATTATTGTAATATATTTAAATAAGTGGCAATTCTGTAGTGCCGTCACTGTACCGATGCCGTCAGAATTTTCTGCCCGGTTCAAATAATTTTATTAATAAATTAATAAAACCAGAAAAAAGTTAAAAAAAGAGGCAGGCAATGGGTCTCTTCCGCTTCCACTCTTTTATACTTTTCTCCGAACTTTCATAGTGAAGTTCCTCCGTCAAAGTCTCACCAGCATGCAATCCACCACTATCATCGATGTTGTCGCTGGTCGACCATCACCACCAATATCTCGAACCTCTCATAAATCGAAATAACTACCTTCATCCTCCCTCATGTTGCCGCCTTGTAATCGCCAATAGCTTCTCCGCAGCAAAAATCCACCACCACTGTTGACGTCGCCGTCGACCTGTCACCACCCAGATCCCAAACCCAGTCAGTCGAAATCACCATCGTCATCAGCCCCTCTAGCACCATCCGGTCATCTACAAAGAATTATTGGGGTTTTCATTTTTTTTAGGTTTGATTGGGTTTTCGTTGAATAAGAAAAATAATAATTATATTAAAAACTTAGAATTAATAGCAGGTTCAACCAAATATAAAAGTTCAACCATTTTGGTAAGTACTAAGTAGCGATTATTAATCAACGGCCCTTATTAATATGCAACCAATCCAATGGCCAAGAAACAGCCGGCATTAGTGCCGTGACGGTACTATAGAATCCGCCTTAAATAAGTTGCATTATTGTTTAGTTGGAATATTATTTTTGTTCTTAGTTTTTAATATAAATAAATAGCACGTAGAAATCAGAGAAATACTTGAAAAAGACTTCTAGCAATCTCAAGCAAACCATCTCATCAATATAATTTCACATAAAATGGTTGATCTAATTAATGATAATACATAAAATAGTAACAAACACCATAACACGTTTTACTGCATAAGATATCAATCTCAAACAACTATTAATTAATGATAAGTGTGAGTTGTCTCATAAATAACCGTTGGTCGAAGTATGCTTTTCAGGAGCACGATTTACAACATAAGTTGTGATTGATAGCAGATGAGATCGGTGATGATTATTGCTGGACTTGTACAGCCAAGTAGTAGTTGTGCTCTCTTTTAGGATCTCTTTTTGTTTCCTGATCTACCATTTCTCAGGGCGCTGCTTTCACCCTCGCTTTTCCTTTGTAATTGTTGTGGTCGTCCCTTTGTAATTTGACATTTTAATAAAACGCTATCGCATTTATAAAAAAAAACACCATAACACAGCTTCAAACTTTAGATGCGACATGCACCCATAACATGCTTGACTTAGTCAGTAGCGTTCCAAGCAACCCCTCACATGCTACAACATTCACTATAGGAGGTATATATATGTTGAATGAAGGTTGAATGGCTCGAACCTTGGTTGGCAACAACAGTAATTAAGGAGCTCCTACTACAAGAAGACTGCAAAACTCTTTTAGGTTTGCAGGCCAGCTCCAAGGACTGGAGAATACAATAAAGGAGGCTGACTTAGCTTCTACCTAGAACAAACATTCAGTTCAAACCAAAAGCTTGATGAAATTGCCGATGACCATCGTCACTTACAAAAATTTTCCGTGTCATATGTAACAACCCAAGCCAACTATAAATAGATAGAACCACCTGTTATTGAGGCATCTTTGACCAATTGAGACTCTGTTAATTACTTTCCCCTTTTAACGCCGTAGCTTTAGCTCCGTAGAACAACTAGCTTTTCCTCCATTCTTCCTCCTCTCTGTATCATCTCCATTCTTCCATTCCTTCGCCAGATTAATCCAATAAAGATCCTTACAAGTGGTATCAGAAGCCTATCATCTGGCTATGACAATGCACACTTCACGAATCGTAGACTTGGAGACACAAATGGGGGCCATTCGGTTACAGATGGATTTCCAGCATCAAGATCTGAAGGGCGTCATTGCTGCTCTCGCGACTTCAACGAAGGAGAGCATCGCCGCCCTCACTGCTTCTTTGATGCGAACTCAGGAGACATTGACGCTTCCCTCATCACTGCGTAACAATTACGATCAACGCCCTGATCATCTGCACTTCCGGCATCAGCCGCGTCGGCCGTCAATTGTGGATCCCTATCCTCGTCGCGAGTTGCCCTATTTCTCTAGCTCGGATCCTCAGGTGTGGGTGAGCAAATGTAACGAAATCTTCATGTTGTACTCAATTCTGGAAGATCAGAAGGTCGATTTGATTTCGTACTATCTGGAAGGTCGAGCTCACACATGGTTTGAAGGCTGGTCTTCCCGTCGTTTTCCTTTGCTTTGGGGTAATTTTGTCGACGGGTTGCTTCGTTGGTTTGGGAGTCAAGTGCAGACGAATGTCATCGCGACGTGCAATCAGCTCCAGTAGACATTGTACCTCCCTTCGCTGATCTCCGAGCAAACTGGGTTTGTGGGCGACTCCCAGCCACTGCGTGGTGTTCCAGAACAACTTGCTAGCAAACTCGGCATCAACGGCTAATCTCACGGTATTTCCACCTCCACTCTGCCGTTGAAATTTTCTTCTATCCATACTGTTAGAATATGACTTGAATTTGATTTGGGTTTGTTTGGTGTTTTGGGCCTATTTTGTTTGGGTTTGTGTTTGGGCTTTGTTTTGGCCTTTTCCTTGTAGGTTTGGAAAAGGTGTTTGGTTTTCTGTTTGGGATTAGGAGAAGAGTTCTATAAATACTATTCACCACCCTAATTTGTTGTGAGGTTAGTCAGGTTAATTTGTTTGGTTTGTCCGTTCCGGAATTTGGTTTATAACCTGTACTCTCCTCAAATCAGTGAAATTTGTTCTCCCCTGCCCGTGGAGTAGCTAGCACACATTGTGTTAGTGAACCACATTAAATTTGTGTTCGTTTGTGTTGATCTGGATTATCGATTGCACGCTTCTGTTCTGACAAGTGGTATCAGAGCCTGGTTGATCTTTGGGTTATTTGAAAATGTCTTGGCGAATTTTTGGGATCACGCTCCGCGGTTGATTTGGATTATTTGAAACAGTGTCCTTTGCTGTTGGGATCGCCCTACTGGTTGGCGGATTGGTCATTCTTCTCTTCGGCTTCGACTTGTGGCTCTTTAATTTTGGAGAGTTGTTTGAATATTTAGTGCAAGATTAATTGCCGAGAAGTAGTTGGAGGAATTTTGCTTTTGTGGTTTGAGCTTTGGTATTTTGGAGCAAGTTAATTGTGAGCTCATTAATTAACTTCTTTTTTTTCGGAGTTACAATTTTGATGCACCACACGTGAGAGGAGTTAGTTTCCTCTAGTTGTCCAGGTTTGATGGAGCTTCCTTGGTGTTCGCGATTTGTAGTGAGCAAATTTTGGTTCTCTTGTGGTAGTTTTGTTTTCGAGCTACTTGGAATTTGAAAATTGGGTTGGAAATTCTGCTGTTTAGCCAGCCGTTTGTGTTGGAATAGTTTGGTCGGGGGTTAGGGTTTTTTCGATCATCAAGATGTTTGTTCTAGATTTAAAGATTGAGAAGTCGATTTGGAGCTGCAGGTTTGGAGTTGGAAGTAAATCTGATGTTGGTGTTATCGATGGAAATAACACCAAGTTGGTTATGCATGCCAAGTCCCAACAAGGGTTGGACTTGCTGCATGTTTTGATTTATTGATCGCCCTTAGGGGCATTTGGAGGCAGGGGAGATTCTGGCACATTTGGAGATTAGAAGAGTTTGGTGTTTAGAAATTTTGGTTGAATTTGAGTTTGGCGATTTGCATCGCGTTTGAGTTTGGTGATTTCGATCACATCTGGTACATCTGGCAACTTTGGTTGCGTCTGGTACATCTGGCAACTTTGGTTGTGTCTGGTACATCTGGTATTTGAGAGAGAATTCAAGTCAAGATGGAGATTGTTAGAATATGACTTGAATTTGATTTGGGTTTGTTTGGTATTTTGGGCCTATTTTGTTTGGGTTTGTGTTTGGGCTTTGTTTTGGCCTTTTCCTTGTAGGTTTGGAAAAGGTGTTTAGTTTTCTGTTTGGGATTAGGAGAAGAAATCTATAAATACTCTTCACCACCCTAATTTGTTGTAAGGTCAGTCAGGTTAATTTGTTTGGTTTGTCTGTTCCGGAATTTGGTTTGTAACCTGTACTCTCCTCAAATCAGTGAAATTTGTTCTCTCCTGCCCGTGTATTAGCTAGCACACATTGTGTTAATGAACCACGTTAAATTTGTGTTCGTTTGTGTTGATCTGGATTATCGATTGCACGCTTCTGTTCTGACACATACAGCTCGCTTGGGAGAGGATGCCATCGTGGCTTGCAAAGTGCAGAAGGAATCTCAAATTAGTGATTACTTAGGTTCGGATGGTGAGACAGTGGCTGTGACTGTTGAATCTCTTCTTCCTCCAAGCCTGGTTGGTGGGAATGGTGCTCTACTTGCTGAAAAGAAACATATACCTCTTGCTACAACTTACCCAACTGAACATAAACATGTATTGTTGATGCAACGGCCTCAAACTATGGCAATCACAAATCAAGTTCCAATAGTTGGGAAAGTGTTGTCAGCAGGAACAACAGGTTTTCTTCAGCAGCCTCAAGACATTGTTGTGGATAAAGGCGGGTCATTTTATTATGAGTTTCATGGTGTTGGGACTGAAATCTCAACCACGACTGGTTATGTGTATGAAGGGGGTAGGTTCGATAGTTTCTTTGTGTTGGTGGAATCAGGGAGAGGTACTGGCTTTGACTTCAAAGAGCCCTACAAGGAGTTGGGTTGGACTGTGGTTCTTTCTTATGGAAGAGTGGGAAACCTTATTCTGCAGCTAGCAACCAAGCAGTACTGTTGTTTGGGAATGCTCCTATGTCAAAGGTTATACTAGTGTTGACGGTGATGGCTCGACGAGGCACTTATCGGGTAATCTGTAGCTTGGAGAAGTCTGTTCAAGATCCTTGAGACAAGAACATTTCAGCAGGTCAAGCTTACTGCAAGTCTGCAACAGCCTATGATGAGTTCTAAGTTCTTCCCAATGAGCAGTTGCCAATGAGCAGTTAGAAGGGTGGAGTATGGGTGGATCATCAATTTTTGAGAAGGACAGGAGCTGGTTTTCAGCTTAGTTTCCAGCTTGAGGCAATTTCCAGTTTTACCAACTTTGTTTCAGCTTAAGGTCAAGCTGTGTTTGAAGGAAATGTGTTTTGTAACAGTCCAAGCCAGCTATAAATAGCTAGATCCACCTGTTATTGAGGCATCTTTTGGTCAATTGAGACTCTGTTAGTTACTTTCCTCTTTTTACGCCGTAGCTTTAGCTCTGTAGAACAACTAGATTTTCCTTCATTCTTCCTCCTCTATGTATCATCTCCATTCCTCTCTGATACCACTTGTAAGGATCTTTGTTAATGGATCCGACGAAGAAATGGCGAAGAAGAAAAAGATACAAAGGGAAAGAAGAGTTCTGATTATCTAGCTATCTACAAATTGGGAAAGTAGCAATTATGTTTACAGAGTGATCAAAAGATAACCAGTCACAAAGGGTCTCTTCCTATTTATACATTGGTTCTTTACACGTCACTTGCCAGCTAAAGCTGGGTTGTTACATCATACCTAAAACAACAGTTCTCCGACGCGATTGAGCTCCGACAATAGTTCTCTCGTATAATTCCAGCCGCTTGCTTGAAACAATCGTCGCACGTGGCACGATCATATCCGCAAGACGAATAGTGGTACATCCATATCGAGAACGTACAGGTGCGGTCGGGGAACTTACTCCGGTACATTTGCCGAGCTCGTATACTTGGTGATACCATACAAAACCGCTTCCTGAACCACCTCGTCGCCGGTAGTAAAGAATTCTTTGTCACTGCAACTGTAGGCGTATTGGCCATTTTCTTCGCGCGAAAGGCATACTTGTTGTGGTCCAGTTTCATCACCGGCGACCACGCAGTTTGCATTAGTGACGTCGCTGGAGAAGCCGTCGCTAATTGTGACAAGCAACAGAAAGAATGACGACCACCTTAGTGTTGGCGTCACCGAGTGATGAATTCTAACCGTTGTGTGTGTGTTTGTCCTTTCATTCAATAATAATAACAAAAATAAATGAATAATAAAGTAACTGAGCATAGTTTCTCTTCGCAAGGGGAAAATGTTAATTAATAATCCTATACATATCCTGAACGCAATAATTTGCACTTAATTAACTCGCTTTTCTTTGCCCTTACTATAGTATAGATGACGACAACTTCATTGCTCGATCTGCATCAATGTCGGACGAGGATGAATTCCATGCCCTTTGTTATACGTGTGTAATTAAATTTGACCTGAATTGAATAGATCTGATGTTTTCTTTTCGTGGAAGTTAATAATATTTTAAATTTCTCTTTCAATCGATGTACAACTCGTTCTTTTTCATTTGAATTGTTCAAAAATTTTGTATGGATAAAACATATGATTTATGATTATAAAACGAAATACATTTTTATATTTAAAAAAATAAAATTTAAAACTAAGTATATCACAATCAAATCATCATTTTACGTACCATCAAGGTAAATGATGCTTCAATTAACATAATGAGTGTACCATGCAAAGTGAGTATTATTTCGAAGAACATAATTAAATAATTAAGTGTTTGAATGTTTTTCCAATGACAAAAAGGGTTATTTGGGTGAGGCAAATGTTAATATGACATTAGAATTCCAAAGCTTTTACTTACTGTTACTTCCAATGTAATATTTGTATTTGATGAGAATGCTTTGTATCCCACTCCTATTAATATATCCATATATATATATATATGCTACAAATCCGGCCATATCCGTCCCATATTCCCAACTTGTTGTACCAAATGGGATCGCAATGCCTTTGAATGTGATCAATGTATCTCACTTAATTCGTTACGTTCGTGCATATATATTATAAATATTGCTAGCTAGCCCTGTAGCCCACTCCACTTCACTTCACTTCACTTCACTTTACTTCACATAACAACAACGTAACACCATTAATTAATACTGATCATCGGCAATGGCATCACTACTGATCACGCGGCTTCCATTGTTCTTGCTGTTGTCGCTAATGATGATGATCATCCCAATCCCAGCTGAAGCCGGTGGCAAGAAATGTGGTACTCCGCAGGGACGTCCTATTTGCGGCGGGGGCGAATTCTCCTACACAAACACGCAGGATGCATTACTATCAAGCTTCCGAGTATATTTGGGCTGCCGGCCGGCCGACAAGCTTTCTGAGCCAATTACGGTCTACGGACATTCTTGGTGTCGCGATATTGATACTGGTAACAACTGCCCTAGCTGCTTGAGTGATGCGATCCATGCCATAGAAGGCCAGTGCCCTAACAGAGCTGGAGCTCAGTACGCGACGGAGGATTGTTGTGTTCGATATGAGACCTACGACTTCTGTTCCTCTTGATCATGTTGATTGATCGAGATGATTATATGAATATTGTTGTATGAGTTTTGTGTGCTTCTAGTTTTCATTTACGTACACCGGCGTTTTGATTGGTTACAATCGGAACTAGCTAGCTATGATCAGTTGCCGCCGGCCGGCGATGTACTCTTTTATGTTGCGCAGCTAATAAATTAGCTCAATCTCTTTAATGATGAGTGGGCATAGTAATTAATAATTACATTATTTTGTAATCCTGGGTTGGGTTGAAAAAGAAGTGGTTAAGATCTATATATATAAGCATCTCTTCTAATAATGTTATTGGAAAGATTAATGAGTTAATTTTAGTTATTGAGACGTGATGACAAAAGATGTTCGAAATACAACAATCCAATAATACTTGATAGAGATTAATGTTTGAAGTTTGAGAAATTTCGTTTTGTTAAAGATTCGAGGGTTGAGAAATTCAGTTAAGACTTGTTGCTAAGGTTTTGATTAACCTCTATTCTAAGGAACTTGACCTAATTCAATCAGCATAATAAATTTCGTATACTATGAGTTTATGTATGCTTAAGTAAAATCTCAATAAGAATTGAAGAACAAGAAGACTTTTCATCGATCAAACCATAATTTAGTTACTTTGAAAGTCGGTGGTGGCAAAAGGGCATAACATCTTGTTGATTTTAATCAATCGCCTTTAGTAGTGAGAAGTCATAACATGAATGAGACGAGTAGTGACAATGCTATCTGATCCTTTGATACGTTATTAGGGTTCTTAGTGATCCAAGTGTTCAATGTTTGAATCTTGTTTGTTCTTTATATATAATGCTTGATGCATATAGTTAGAAAGTGTAAATGGTGATTCCAAAAGTGTTGAGATGAAATGAGTAAACTAGAAAAATAATTAATAGCACCCGTAAAATGAAACTTCCGGTACCATTTTGAGATATTGGAAATGTCCATGGGCCGAAGGTGATTTTTTATTTCCTTATGTTAAACCCCAATTAGGCCCTTGAAATTCCGGAGCCAGGTTCTTCTCTGCGACCATTTCCAACTCGATACTCTTCCCAGAACACTGAAAACCCCACCGAATCAACCTTCCATTCCCTCTTCTCTTCTTCTTCCCGCCGGCGGGAAGAGGAGGATTCGGCCATTTAGTTTGCCGCAGAAACAAGGTAAACATTCATCAAGTGGATATTTGTGAATGTCTTTGTGGAAGTTCGAGTTATCTTTGGTTCAGTGTCGCCTTTGTTAGTCCATTTACCACTGAGTTCCTTGCAATGTGTCTTTAATTTGATAGGCAGTGGTCGTTGGGTTATCTCGCTTCCCGCCGGGTGTTATCAGTTGTTTCTTGGTTCAGATTTCGAATTACGGTGATCGCCGGGATAATAGATGGGTGATACGGGCGGTTTCTCCCAAATGCATGTTTGAGGGGTAGTGTTAGTTTGACAGGAAATCCGATTTTAGGATCCTTACTAAAGCTTGACTGTTGGAGTGTTCTTGACATGTTACATTGCTCCAGTGACTGAAGTATGCTGAACTTTCTTGTTTCATTCTGATGTTGGGATTTGAGATACAGGGTTGATTTGGACAAATGGCGGATCCTGGAACTAGCAGATCGAAGGTGCAGGTAAAGAATTTGATGATGGTTCATATGGGCATGTTAAAGATGCCACCTTGAGGCCATTCCTCCCCACCCCAAAACCAATTTTGTGATCAACTTACCTTTTGTCTTGATATGGTTGTTTCTTTTCTTTCAGGTCTACTTAGATGCGGAGCATGCAAAGTGCAGCATTTGTTTAAGCTTATGGCATGACGTTGTCACCGTCGGTCCTTGCCTTCATAATTTCTGGTGTGTAGATTTCATTCCTAACTTGAAATTTCAATGAAGGAAATGACATTGTTTCTTGAGTCACATTGTTGTTAGTATGTCTAATTGCTGAGTAACTAGAGACCCTTTGAACTGGGTTTGATCAATGATCTACATAAAAGATAAGACCTTGAGCTGCGTGTATTAAAGTTTATTATTTATTAAAAAACAATCTGTGGCAGAGTTAATTTTTCTTTCCACTTATGTTACACGTGTGTTTTTTGCAACCTCCTCTGTTCTTGACTGTGATTTAGTTGTGCTATGAGGATTTTCTGAAGGTAAATTTTGTCATTTCGAATGGACTTTTTTATAAGAAATACAAAGGCATTACTTTAATCATGTTTGTTTCTTAGGACGCAATGGATTAAACTGAACAGTGATGCTTAAGTAGGTGAAAAAAATCCTCAAGGAGAAAAGAAATTCGAACTAGATGGCTCCATACTTCAAACTTTTTTTATAGTGGGATTCTTCTGTCCAGAACTCCCTTCATTTTGTTTGTGGGTTCCGGTTGATGCCCAATTCGCCGCCTACTTGTGGTTGATTAACAGTATTTCGTCCCCATTGGTTTCATTTCATGCAATAGTAATTTAAACTGGTGAAACGACGTTGATTTGCCTCGTGCTCCCTGTACATTTCAGCAATGGATGCTTCTCTGAATGGTTAAGGAGATCACAGAAGAAACAGTTGAAAGTTCTGTGTCCTCAGTGTAGAGGAGTCGTGCAATTTGTCGGGAAAAATCACTATCTGCACAATATAGAAGAGGTAGCATCTTTCACATTATGTGTGCACGTAATCTGCTGGAAGTTATTTGTATTGCTGGCTTACTAGGCCTTGTAACTGATGTAGTGATATCTCTTTACTTTCATTCGACCCATTGCATTCATCCTAGTTAGTAACTTGGAAATATAAAGGATACAAACAGTGTCTACTTGTTTTGTAACTTCTGTCATCATCTTCACCATTTTATCGGTTGTGGATAATATATCAACTGCAGGCTTCATGTCTGATCAATGTTTGTGGTTTTGAATTCTAGTGGAATCTATTGTGTATTTTTTTTTTTTACCATTTTAGGACATAATCCGGTCTGATTCTTCACTAAAGAGGTCTGAAGAAGAAATTGCTCAACTTGACACCTATGCAATGATACACTCAAGCATTGTAAGTATCTTTACCACGCATAGCAGGCTGTATAAGAAATTGCTTTAGTGTTTGTGGAGTGGAATTACAGTAGCAAAACTAGTATGTGGTCTAATCTGTTGATTTATGTCCCATCTGGTGGTTGCCATGTTAAACTTATTCTGTCTAGTTCATTATGGTTTCTCATAGTGCAATGCCTCTGCAATTGGGGTTCTGAAGATTAAGGAATATGTATATACCTTCTCTGTCGAATGCAATAATAAAGAGCGTAATTGATGTTTCGTTTTGAGATTTGGATGGGACACAAACTCATGGTTACCATTGTGGAATATTGAGCTCTGGAAAAAATCAATTCTAAATCAGAAAAGGATCTATATTTTGTCCTCCCAGTGAAGGATGAAGGGAAAAATGATTACTTTATTGTATTGGTGGTCTTCTTCAAGCATTAGAGGTTCTAGCTCCTTTGTTGTTTGGATTCTGTTATTTCTGTAACCCCACAAAAAAATCTTGTGGATTCTAAACCAATAAGTGATTGATCCATATGGTTAACTATGATATATTTTAAGGTAATGGAGCCTGGAAAGAATCGTGAACGTAAAAGGACACGTGTTGAATCAGAATCTCCAGATGAGGATTATGTTGAGTTCTTAGAAAGATTTGGTGTTACCTCTCCTCAATGCTTGCAATGTGGTAAGATTCAGCACTCATCCATTTTTATTTTCAATGTTGTAGTTACCTTACTTAAACATGTATGCATGACGTGATAATATTAATACCTGTCTAGTGAGGATCAGTCAACTATGAAGTTTCTTCAGTGTATTACAAATCAGACTGCATGGGCATGAGAATCAACATTTCTTCTCTTCCCCATTTCTTGTGTAATAAACTTCTTGTCTTTGCTCTTTTATCTACTATCATCAGGTACCGAGTATAATGGATTCTGCTGCAATGGGAATACAGTCCACTTAGAATGTCATGCCTGTGGTGGTAAAATGCCTCTGAGAGTCAATTCTGATGCACCTCAACATTGTATGTGAAGGGTTCGCTAGCTTTCTTACCTCTTTTCACATGTAATGATCACCACGTTTCAAAAACTATGTCAAACAATCTCGAGAATCCTTTGGATTTCTCCTTGTCTTTAGGAGAATGATTCCACAGCATATTCAGTTCTGAACTAAGAAAATGCATCATGTCATCATGGTTAATTATCTTTGTCTTCTTAAAGTAACTAACTTGACTTGATTGGCATCTCATATGCATAAATGGCGGACTTTTTGCTGAGAACTGATATTGTTGCTTCTTTCTTTTGTTACAGGTTTAGGATGTGAAAGACCTTTTTGTGGGGCTTACTGGCCTGCTCAGGGAAATGTCCTACGTTATCCATGCAGCCTAGATAGTTTCAAACCGGTATTTGTTATCCTTCTAATGCTGTGGTGTCTGGTTTGCAAATTATATGTCTAAGTACCATTGCTTCTATACCTGTTTGTGGTATTTGCCATGTTTACTAATTATTAACTAGAACATTGTAAAACATCTGAATATAATTGTACAACCATAATATGTTTTTCACCATCGATTATTCAAATTGGAAAATCTTGTTGCATTTGCTGGCCTTTCAAAATGCTTGCCATAATTTCCATTTTTGTTTTTATCTTTTTGCAGATCTCAGATCGCTCCATCTCAATAATTCCACATTTGGCTCATCAAACTAATCAAGTTGAAAAGGATGTATGTATTTCCTTCCAGCTGTTGTATGTATCATTAGCATAGTGTTGCTTGTCAGAGTTAAATTCCTGATAGGAGACCGCATTATTTGTAGGTTACACAAAGGTGTATTAGACAGATGGGGAGAACGCTACCTGATGTTGTCTCAGAATGGATAGCAAAGTTGGACAACGGGGAAATTGGTAATGTCCATCGAGGCCTTTATCCATTTTTATTAATTTTTTCCCATTACATTTTAATGTTGGAAAACTGCTCATGTTTGACGTTGAATTTACTTCTGGGGTTTCTCAAGTAATGCCATAACCGTTTGTTGGATTGTTTTTACATTTACAACTGAAATCTTAGAACTTCAGGACTGATCCAACAAGGTGTCTTAGCCTCTTAGGTTTATTTTCTGGGAGGAGGAACTTGTGAGGTAGATTCTATTTTGCATCCCAGGCAAGCAGGGTCCAAGAAAAAGCCATAACTATGTGCTGTTTGGTACTTAAGTAATAGCTAATAACTAAGTTAGTACATGGACTGAGAATCTATGGCTTGCCTGATTATTCAACTTATTTTGAACTAAGCTGCAAGTTTTGCAATTTTTTGTATAGATCGATCGAGGCTGCCTCTAAAGCATGCAGACAGTATTTCATCTAGTACACATGTATGCTGGTAAGTTGTCCAATTCTTACACTGCTAAGTTTGAAAACTGTGTTCTTTGGGACACTATTCATGGTGCCGTGCTGCTGCACGAATCTTCTAATATCTTCCACCGAGAAATTTGATCAGACTACATGTCCTGAAAACATATATAGATCGATAAAATAACTAGGTAATCTTATGAGTTCTGGATATTTTATCCTCTTTATCACTTGCTGTTTACATTATATAGAGAGAGCTCTGTAACTAATGTCAGAACCAAGATATGGGGTGCGTCTGGTAGCTCGGCTTTTGATTTTCTACTTCATGGTCTACTAAATAAGATTACACTTCAAATTATAAAAAAAAAAAAAAAGATTACACTTCATGTTTTTGTTAATTTGTTTGACCTTTGATGCAGTGAGTGTTGCGATAAGTTGGTGTCATTTCTCTTGTACTGGTTCCGCATTGCCACTCCCAAACACGTAAGCCTCTTTTGTTCGATCTACATTTCTTTCCAGGGATCTCCTCTGTTAATGAAATTCAAGTCTCTCATATAATGTTGTGCTCTTAATTTCAAAAAGTCTCAACTCTCACATTCCACTCGTGCGTTGTTTGGCATGCATAGCACCTACCACCGGATGCTGCTAACCGGGCTGATTGTTGGTATGGCTACGAGTGCCGGACACAGCACCATAACGAACAGCATGCTCGTAGATTGAATCACGTCTGTCGTCCGACTAGGAGCTCCAGCAACAATTAAAGCAGTAGAGCAGTGGGCCTGGTTCTAGACTGGGATGGTGGTGATGGTGATGCTGCTGCCTTTTGGGGTTCCCCTGGTGGTTCTTGTCTGTATATACCAGGGTTGAATGAAGCTAAATTATGATCTTATTATCGTACTATGTGTCGCGATGGTATGGTTGGTCTAGTATTGGATTATGGATGATGAACATCGATGTCATAGTTTGGTTCTCAGAACTTAGTTTGACGTATGTGTAATATGTGCCTCAGATCCTTCGATGGCCTTGTCTACTCTACATGTAAATTGGCTACGAATGATGTGCCTTCTAAAGTGTTTGGAATGTTTTAGGTACATGAGTAATAATTATAATAATGTCATCATCGTGGTGTTTACGCATACACCCGTCAGGCTAGGCTAATGCTTAATAATGGTTCCTGCTTCATTTTACTTGAAAGGATTGGCCCCATGTTTAAATGGAACCATGCTTCTTCTTATAGAGACAGTTAAACAAACTCCATTCCATTGATTGTAGCGGATCGACTCCTTTTAGAATTATCCAGAATAGCTTGCATAATGTCTCCATGACAGCATTCATTTGCGCTCTAGAACACCTACTTTTCACACTACTTTTCTCTGCAACTGTGGCGGACGTCGGAGACAAAACCCACTGCTATTAATTTATTGGGGATCATGGATGGAGTACTCTGTTAGAACAGAGGCGAACAGGGGAGCCTCTGTTTCCAGAGACACAAAACCCAGAGATCGCGGAAGCAGATGAATTGTTTCCGGCGAGTAGTTAAATCAATTGTCCACTGTTCATCATCGGAGTAGGGAATTAGTGTTGGCCGGGGATGCAAGGGTGAACGAGGAGGATTTCTCTTCCGATCTGGCGCTCCTTGTGGGTAATAAGGGAAATAGCGGATGATTAAGGGATTTTGGCTGAGGAAGCACGGGGAACTCCGGCGGCGGTTTGCGAGGTTGAAGAAAATCCCTTACCCGACGACCGACATCACCACCAGCCGCTGCCGCTTCAGCAGGAGAAAGAGGAGACGCCAGAGGGTAATCGGCGGGAGAACGAGCGACGGATCGGCGGAAACCAGCGCGAAAAGTGGAAAATACGGGAGCTCGAAACGTCGAAACGCGAAACGTTTCGAGTCCTCAAAACCAAAATCGAAACGCGATAAATTGACGAGAAAGTGAAATTGACGATATACGATATATAGCTAAATATCGTGATATTTTCACGATATATTGACTTTTGGAAGATATATTGACTCTGACTTTTACTGGCCTCTTGTTGTAGCAACGAACAGGGAGGAAATGACCGGGAAAAAAACAGAGAAATAAGCAGAGTTCGTCGCCGGTGAGCGACCAAAGGCAGATAAAGAGGAATTGAGAAGGGAGAGAGGTTGGAGAGAGAAAGAGAAACAATTTCCGGCATGGCATCTGGTGTTAAAACAACGAACACTGGAGCCATTTCTGCTCCGGCATAGAGATAATGAGTAATGACTAGTGAGGACTTATACGAGGCAATCATATAAAGTTAGGTGATGAAAATTGATAATTTTCCCTCCGTTCAAGTTTCTACTCAAGTCTCCTTATCCTTTTTATATGTGTCTTCCCTTCCGCCATAACCACAGAGACGGAGGGTTTAAGGGACTTTCTCAAGGGTTTTGACGAACTGAAGTTAAAGAAGCAAGAGGCGACAACAACGAGAGCAAAAGCGCAGCAGGTCCATAACCAAACGGTAATCCTTTCTCCTTCCTAAATTTCCCTTTTCCCCATCATTTCTCTGCTCCTCTGTCCTGTTTAAGTTCCGTACTTCTTCAAGAAACAAGGTGATGTAATGGTGGAGAAATCTTCTCCTTCTCATTATCTTTTCTTCCGCCATTTCGTTGCTTCCCTCCCTGTCTTTACTTGTTGAAGTTCGTAGCTTTAATAGATTGGCAGTCTCGTTCCTACCATATAAGCTGATGAATGAATTTGAGAATTTATTTATTTATTACTGTAGTGGCGGCAAATTGAAAGCACATGGGTCATCAGGCTTTGACAATCCACAATTGGTCCTCGCTGGTACAAGCTCAACGATTTGGTGATTCTGAATTGGGACTTAGCAAGTTCGCTGATTCTACTTCTCCTTTTTGTTTCACTGCCCAATTATTGAAGGTTTGTGTTGCATTTCATATTCTGCTGTTGCCGTTGATGATTGCATAAGTTCGCACAAATTCCATTATCGGTCTTGCAATCATGGTGAAAAATGATATTTGCAGGTCCGTCTTCGCTGTGTTGATAGAGTAAGAGCTTCTAAACCAGTTGAAAGCCTTAATTCAGGTGGTGGAAAGAAAAGGGAAGGTGCAGAATGCAGCGATAGCGATGGCGATGATGATGAAGATGATGATGATTCGACCAGAAGAGCTAAGGCGAACGACCCTTATGCTATGAATCCTGAAGAGAGACGTGAATGGAGGAAGAAAATTAGGGAAGTTCTAGCCAAGCATCCTGATAAAGAGCTACAGTTTAATGCTGAAGAGAAGAGGGCGAAGATGGAGAAGCTTTTGGCTGATTATCCCCTCGTTGTGGACGAAGAGGATCCTGATTGGCCTGAAGATGCTGATGGATGGGGGTTTAGTTTGGGTCAATTCTTCAACAAGATCTCAATCAAGAATGTCAAGAAGGATAATGATGATGATGAGAAGTATGATAGTGATAACGAGATAGTGTGGCAAGATGATGATTATATTCGTCCAATCAAGGACATTACCACTGCAGAATGGGAGGAGACTCTATTCAAAGATATCAGCCCCTTGATTGTGCTAGTTCATAATCGGTATAAAAGGTCAGTTTTTTTACGCATGTTATGTTTGCTGTTTATTTTATTCAAGTGTTTCAAATGACCTTTTTGTTGTGGCTTAAATGCCTAAATGGTAACTTTTGTAAAAACAGGTTCACTAAATTTATAATCATACCAAAAATCCTGACGAAACTATGTGCGTCACTTGTTCTTATTTCTTCTAATTTGTATTGAGAATGAGTTGGATTTTGAGTTCGTGTGTTAATGGGTCGGGAGTCGGTTCTTTTAGTTGGGACTCTGTTGGAAAGGATTGGGTCTAGTTGATGCATAGGATGTTGATCGGTCAAGTTTGATGTCATTGTGAGCCTATCTGACATGTTGGTTCAATCCTAAAGCCAAAGTAGACAGGATAGCCATTTTTTTTACAAACCCTTCAGTTCACTTAACATTCTGTTATAAACCCCTCACTGTTCAGTGACCATCTAGGCATTTAATCATGTATTTGACTTCTTGTCCTCAATGCAAACTTCTTTCACAGGCCAAAGGAGAACGAGAGAATTCGAGTTGAGTTGGAGAAAGCTGTGCATATCATATGGAACTGTGGGTTGCCCTCCCCAAGAGTAAGTTGACATAACTGGTTTCTCCATTCAAATACTTTTGTGTGGGAAGCATTGTCACTGAACGTTAAGCTTTATTTTTGGGACAGTGTGTTGCAGTTGATGCTGTTGTTGAGACTGATTTAGTTTCTGCTCTTAAAGTTTCTGAATTCCCAGAAATTATGTTTACAAAGGCAGGCAAGGTCTTACACCGTGAGAAAGGTAAATTCATCTTCTCATGAGATCACAGTTTGGTCCTCTAGTGCAACATGAGTTTGTGACTTTTCTCTTTGAATTCAGCGATACGAACAGCTGATGAGTTCTCGAAGATAATGGCCTATTTCTATTATGGAGCAGCCAAGCCACCTTGCTTAGATAAGATTGGTGATTGCCAGGAAATGATCACAACTGTAAAAGTCAATGACAATCAGTAATGCAATATCTGTTGTTGCTACATATTGCTAAGGTTAGTCAACTTCCTGATCTCTATTGAACATGCTTATCATACATAGTGTTGATTATCGAGTCATTTGGATGCTACTAGATGGTAGATTCTGAATTTGTTTCAACATCTAGATTCCTTTGAGAACTTGTGCAGAAGATTTAGCTAAGCATGGTCAAAATTACTGTAGTAAGTTCCATGAGAGTTTCTTTAAGGTTTGATATCTTTCAATATGTAGCTCAGTTTATTGCAAGGATTACTCGGTCATGGAAGTGCTAGAGCGAAAGGACAAAGAATGGATACTCACCTTAAGTAAACTTTCCGTACATTGTACCTATGAGATATGATCCATATGTGTGTAACTTATTGTCAAGTTATACAGGAAATCAATTATTGAAGACACCACAACTACAGAAAGCTTTATGGTAATGGAATCTGAAGGCAAAGAGCTGCTTCATGTTCGAGCCATCAAACTTGCAGTTAGCTACACCAACAATCCTTTTCTCTCCATGTCCTCCAAGAACTGTAAGGCATTTCCCACTGCTACTAGATAACCAGAATCTGTAACCTCTGTGCTTTACTTTCTCTGGTGGATTGGTAGATTTCCAGTCATCTTCTGCTAAGCTTTCCAGTGACTTCGACGATCGAAGAGCCACCTTGCCAACCTTGTTAACAGTTAGATAACTCTGTTCACCAGAGCATTTGTCCATATAGTTGCTGAACCTGTGAAAAAGAATTACAGTAGCCAATAGCATCATCATCTGCTTTTACATTGGGATAAATTACATACTGCGTGATTTGAATTAGGTGATTTCTTCCTTCATGCTTTGAAAGTAAATGTTGCAAGCACCGTAGGTTGATCAAAACATAAGAAAAGGTGGTGTGTTCCTTTCCATTGATCTCGGTGTCTGGAGCATTACTTTTTATGATCAAATGTGAAGCAGATAACCTATTCAGTGACTTGGTATGTACCTCTTTTTTTATATGATCCACATATGACATATCTACACAGTATTCAAACCTTGGGAGCTTGGATTGCCCGAAATTGCTGTTCACTTGGCTTGTCATTTTGGATTTCATTAGGCCTTTGTGAGTCTATCCTCGTTTGTTTTTCCCTCTTCTTGCTTTATGGTGAACGATGTGCCATGCTTACCCATACATGCTGCAAATTTCGGGTTTTGATTCCGTTAGAACGTTGGTTTTTAAGCTGATGGATGAAACTTATAGGCGAACCAATGTGATTCGGCTGATCGAAGATGAAAGAAAGTTGGCAACTTCGTTGCCATTTAGCTTTGGATTCCCTTGTGAAAAGTTTGATAGGTTTGGCTTTAGCATCTTTCTTGCATATTTTGTTTCTCATCATCTGTATTATCATTGCTGAACTGCAGACCACTGCATATACTAGTTTTGTGAAAGGATTGTGCATGCATAGCAATTAATTTCCTATATGATAAAACTGATTATGTAAACACCAAATAGTTTGAGTTGTTGATTTTATATACTGTATTAATTATTTAATGATAGCATCTCCAAATAGACATGCGACATCAAGTATTAGAAATCCATAAAAAAATATAAGGAAAAAAGAAAAATAATTAAGATGGAACTTAAATATAAAACAAAAGAATAAAAATATTTTCCTCCATTTTTTCCCTATGTACTTTTCCCCCCTTCTTTTCTTCTTACCACTGTCTGACTGAATCAAGTTCATCTTGTTGCTGTAATTGTTTGGGAATTGAAGTAGGAGGGGAGAAAGTTATGGAGTATGTTTGATCTGTAAAAGAAGGTGGTTGCGACATAAGACTCATGGAAGAATATACATTGTTATTGTTATTAATATTGAACGTCGACTGATGAATATTTTGTTGCTGCACTACCTCACCATCAAGATGGTGAAGTACTTGATGTTGATGATGGTGATGCAGTTGCGGTACTTGATGCTGCTGTAGTTGTTGTTGCTGCTGCTGTTGTGGTAATCTCGGCTCGACTCTCTGCTGTTTCGGCAGGTTCAGTTTCTCGCCCTCGATCTCTCTGTACTTGTTGAGGTACGATTTGAGGGGCGCCACGTAATCTTCAAACCCTAGCGTCGTTATAGCCCATATGATGTCGTCGCCGTTGATTGTCTTCCTTTTCTCCCTCTGACACTTATCGGAGGCTTCTCCGGTCACGAAGCTGATGAACTCCGACACGCATTCTTGGACGGTCTCCTTGGCATCTTTGGAGATCTTCCCGTTCCCCGGTATCACCTTCTTCATGATCCTGCCCACGTTGGCAATGGGCAGGAAGCGATCTTGCTCCTTGTTGTTGTTGCTGCTTGTATGATGATGAGTCGGTGTCGTCGTAGTAGTAGGAATATTAATGGTGACGGGTGTAGTACTTGAACAACCGCTGCTATTGATGTTGTGTTCGATTTTGATACGCTTTAGCGACGAGCTATTGTTGTCGTTAATATCACCACCTTCTGAACTCTCTCTAGTCGTCGTCGGATAGTTACTTCTGCCATTTCCATGGCTCTCATCTTCCATATCTCACTTCCTTAGATACAAAATAGCTTTTCGTTTCAAAGGTTGAGAGATGGGTGTTTCTTTTTTGGGTTTTTTTTTACTGTTTCACTTTTTTGTTGTTGTTGTTTTGTTTAGTTCGATTAGGAGGAAAGTTTATGGCTATGAGATAACTAGAGAGAACGTGCGGTAAAAATAGGGGAAGTGTGGCAGACATTGGCTGATTTTAACCCCTTTGTTAGGGTTCCCTAGGACTCGTTCTTTTCTTAGACAGTGAAAAAAGAAAACAAACCTTAACTGTCATAACCTAATCTAAGCCAACTCTGTTCAACATGAATTCCTTGTTGACAAGGTTTTTTTTTTTATGTTGTTTTTTTTTGTGTCTTTTACCTTTTTTTTTGGTCGGAATATTAATTAATTTTTTAGTTCTAATCATGGATTGAATACTATATAAATTATTCAGGTTTGTTGTGGTCGAGGGTCTTGTCGATAAAGTTTTCGAGGTTTCAATAATTTAGTTATGAGAATACAATCTCGAAAAACTATGTAAGTTATTGCCATAAAATTCTAGAATTAGAAAAGTAAAGAAGATGATATGCAGAAAAATTCATTTATTCATGAGATAGAAATTATTCAGTCATAAATGATTTTAGTAACCAAGCGTGATAGTCGACCAATAGACAAACTATAAATGGGAAGACAAATTTTGCCACAAAATTGGCAATTCTATCAAAATAAAGATGGGCAAAGATACAAAGAATGAAGTGAAAGAAGAATTTAGTTGTCGAACATCTAATGTGTGAATCCTCTGACCGTCATTGATTGGTAACGAGATGCATAGCTAGCATGTATGATATGGCTCGACGATCCTAAACATTTAGTCAATCCAACCATTTCAAGAATTCTTGTGTCGGGCCTACCTATAGTTTATGTTTAAACTTTATAATCAATCATAAGTTGCTCATATTTGGCAGAATGATAGTTGTTCTCCTCAATTTATACATCTTGTGCTTTTTTTTTAATAATTTTTAAACGTGACAAAAGCACACATATGATAATTTTGTTTGGTATAAAGATGACACGCATGAATAGCACACCCAAAATTAATTAATTAATTAATTAATTAATGACGTGCCTTTTATTAGTTCATATCGTTAGGCCTATAATTTGTAACCCAACGCCGTCACAAAGCCCGAGCTTGACGGGCTAGAGATTCAGCAATGACAGTTGAGTAATAATACACAGAAAAATTAGATGTCGTCGCCGCCAAATTCCCTTCCTCCATCCGCTCCAGATCCAGAGCCTCTCTCCGCCGTCGATGAGAATGCCCCCGACGCAGCAGCCACCGTCGGCGATTCGCCACCACAGGAACTCATCTGCTCCACTACCACCACCGCCACCACGACGTCCTCATCATCCTCCTCTCCATCCGATCGAGCCGAAGATCATCCGCCGTCGGACATCCCCATCTCCTGGCCGACCGACGGCCAGCTGTCGTCGGAGTGGGTCCACCGCTTGATTTCGGCCTTCGACTGGTCCTCCCGCCACGTGGCTCCGTCGCGGTTCGAATCCGTGCTCCCCGTCCCGGTCTTCGACGCGCTGGTGCTGGCCGCGTCTAAGCTCCTCCACAAGGAGCCGAATTGCGTCTCGATCGGGGATTTGAGTCCCGATTCCGCCGTTGTCGTGGTCGGGGACGTCCACGGCCAGCTCCACGACGTGCTGCTCCTGTTCAGGGAAGCTGGTTTTCCTAGCGAGAATCGTTACTTCGTGTTCAATGGGGACTACGTTGACCGAGGGGCTTGGGGGCTCGAGACTTTCTTGGTCCTGCTGGCGTGGAAGGTACTTCCTTTACTGAATTCTGCTGATCTTAAGTAAGAATCAGTGAAAGAGAGATCTTTGTAGTAGGGAATGAATGCAGAGAAAATGGCACTTGAACTCGTTGCTAACTGTTTTGGTGTGCTGGAAAGAGCTTGAATTTGGATTGACTGAACTGTTATTGTTGATTCATTCGTTGGGGCATTTCGTGGATCTTGTAGCTTTCCATTCATTTCGTCAATGTTCTGATGCTGCTCTGAAATAAGAATTGGTGATGAATGTTACTGAGTTGTGAACAGTGATGAAAGTTTGGTATAGATAGATGATAGATCTTTGTAGTGGGAAATGTGTTGAGAAAAATGGTACCTGCAGTAGTTTCCAACTGTTTTGGTGTGTTGGACAGGGCTAGACATTTGGTTGACTTGATGTGTTGTTCTTGATTCATCGAGTTGGACAGTTGTCCATTTGTTTGCTTTCTTTTCCTGTTTATTGAGTTACGAGGAATTGGATGGCTTCTTCCTTCTCTACGTAAGAATCAATCTTGAAATTATTGATCATTGATGAAAGTTTGGCGGAGAGAGATCTTGTGATAGGGAATGCATAACGGGAAAAAAGGGTACTTTGAAACGATTTCCAACTGTCTCAGTTTGCTGGCAAGGGCTAGAATTCTGACTGAGTTGACTAGTATTCTCGATTCGTCTGTTTGGCCATCTTCGATTTGTTAGCTTTCCTATCCTGTCTATTGAGTTTTCCAATTTCAAGAAACATGCATTTATGACAAGATCGAGTGGGCTTAATTCCTACTTTCATGGCGATTTAATAAACAATAAGGTGACTCTTCTTTAGGTTTTTATGCCGCACAGGGTGTTTCTCTTACGTGGGAACCACGAATCAAAGTACTGTACATCGGTGTATGGTTTCGAAAAGGAAGTACTAGCGAAGTATGGGGATAAAGGCAAACATGCCTACCGGAAGTGTTTGGGATGCTTCGAAGGGCTTCCTTTGGCTTCCATTATTGCTGGGCGTGTGTACACTGCTCATGGTGGACTATTCAGAAGCAACCCTGTTACACCCACCCTGCCCAAGAGATCAAAACGAAAGAAGAACCGCAAAGTAAACCTACACCAGGAGACTAATATGTTAGCTCTCGGTTCTTTAGACGAGTTGGCCAAAGCTCGAAGGTCAGTTCTTGATCCTCCATGGGAAGGCCAGAACTTGATCCCTGGTGACGTGTTATGGTCAGACCCAACGATGAAACCTGGGCTCTCGCCAAATAAAGAAAGAGGGATCGGCTTGCTTTGGGGGCCTGATTGTACGGAAAGCTTTTTGAAGAGGTTTCAGTTAAAGGTTTGTTGTTGTTTTTCACTTAAGCTTATTCTCTTTTAGCTATCTTCGTTTCTTCTTACTGATTTTGTGCTTTCGTTTGTCTTAGCTAATCATCAGATCACATGAAGGTCCTGATGCTAGAGAAAAGAGGCCCGGTCTTGGCAAAATGGACGAGGGATATACCATTGATCATGTTACAGAGTCTGGGAAACTTATTACTTTGTTTAGTGCTCCAGACTACCCACAGTTTCAGGTCATTCTTAATTCTTAATCCGTGTGTTTTCTGCTGTCGGTTGAAGCTAATAAATGTTTAATGCTGTCCATGCAGGCAACGGAGGAGAGATACAAGAACAAAGGGGCCTATATCGTTCTCAAACCACCTAATTTTGACGAACCCGAGTTCCATAGCTTTGACGCAGTGACTCCTAGGCCGCAGGTACTTCCTCATTACGTGAGCTAATGGCAGTGAATAACGTTTGCATTAATGGAAACCCATAGATCACGGATCTAGATATAGAGAATTCTAAGGTCTTTTTTGTCAATGCAGGTGAATCCATATTATGACTTCGAAGATGTGATAGACTCTGATGAAGATCTCGACTTGGCTTCAATGGCAAACAACGATTAACGCAGACTTTGTCATATGCCAAACCCAATCCAGTTCATCACCTGCTGGTTTGCTAGCTCATTCGAGCTTCTCGATGCTCTTGTACAATTATAATTTATGAACTAAATCTTCTCTCGCCAGCACGGGAAGCTGGCATCTTCTTGTTGTTACCTCTTCAGTTTCCCTTTAATTTGGCAGTTCGGAATATCATCATGTGTACACTTCCTGTTATTTAAGGTTTTGATGAATCGGATGTGAATGGGGGTTTATTTATTGGAACAAAGTTCTCCAGTTAGGTTTAGAGCCCCATTTTTTATGAAGTTTACCTTTCTCTAGTTTTCCTCGTATTAAGACTTACAGAGTTTGTTGTACTGACTGAGAGCTAAAGCAAGTCTGGACTATGCTTCATAGTTCAACAGATCCTCCATATTTGTAACTCTGTATAATGCTAATAAACTCCCAAGTCTGTAAAGGGATTTCAATAAATAAATTCAGAACTATAATCAACTTAAAAACTACTGAGGTCTATTCATCATCTAAATTAAAATTATACTGAGGTCTGTAGTTCTTCATTGACTTATCTAAATTAAAATTTTACTGAGGTCTGTAGTTCTTCATTGAATTATCGCAGAAAACTAGGGTATCCCAGATGGCGCATAGACATGACTTGTGATTCACTTCAAACCATAGGCCCGACGAATCGCCTCTTCCAGAAGAATTGCTTCTTCCTCTCTCTGTCCCTCCTTCCAAACCTTGAAGTGCAGTGCCGAAGGGTTGGAACTGGAATCTCTCCATTTCCTCAGCAGAGAGATGGGGTAGAGCCCTCCGAGACGCAGTCCTTGTCGTACACTCATGCAGTGCCACATCTTGGTGTTAACGTTTTCTCTTCCTATTGTTGTTGCTGCTTGATTGCTGGTGGCAGCAGGTCTTGTATTATCACCTTGATTATCATCGTCGCTCAGATCGATGATCTCGATCTTTCCTGTAGCACTCTTTTCGGTCTTTTGGCTCGCCTCTTCGCCGGTTTGCTCATCTGTGTTTGATGCCACGTTGGGTGCATCTTTCTCTATGCTCGTTTCCATGGGAAAGGGTACTGCTGCAGGTGTTTCTTTCTCAGTAGTTTTGGCCGCCTTTTTTTGGATATCCTCTTGTATGGTTTTCTCCACGTTGTCAGGAGGAAGGAATGTTTGTTTCTCGGTGTTTAAGGCTACCTTTTGGATCCCCACTTCCTTGATTTTCTCCACCACGTTGTTGGCGGGAGAAAGTGATGCAGTACGCACAGGAGGAGGGGTTTGAGCAGCTTTAATGGCATGTCCTGAACCCATTCAAGTTTACCGTTAGTCTAAGAAACAAGTTCTTCTGGGCAACTTGTACATAACTCAACAATGCAAATTAAAGGAGAAGCTGGACAAACCTGTAGCTTCCACCACATTGCGTGGACTCGAAGTTCCCTCTCTGATTAGACATTTGGATGGTTTCGCTTTTACCAAACCTTCTCCTGGTTGTAGAATCTTTGCTTGCTCTTCATGCCTTGGCATTTCCTTGCATGCTGATTCCGCTGCCTCTTCATCTGCAATAATCTCTGGGATTTTCTGTAGCAGCCGAGATTGCTCCTCGGGTGTTTGGAGATTGTTCCATGTTTCCCAGTACTCGGCAAGCGTAGGCAGGGAACTAGTTAAGGATTTGCAGAACTTTCTATAAAAATTGGAAAAGGAAACTAAAAAAAAAAGGAAATAGAAGAATCTGTTATGTAACTGTTACAGCTTTGCTATTGAAAAAATCAAAGGATATTCGCGTCTCCATCCCTTCTCACTTGCCTGACCAATACGGCGTTTTAGTAATGCCAGCTCTCTTACGATCCACTTGACCATTGCAGATGATGAAAGACAAGTAACATCGTCAAGAGAAAGAACTCACATCATCTAAGAACTTAAGACTACACTTTTTACACTAGTACTCTGCCACACAAGGAATGAATAAAAATAAGGCAACTCTAGCAAACTACACAATGATGCTGACCAAGAAACAGGGCGCCTTATCGAAGTTACTAGAACTCAGATTATCATTGACTAAAAACTATGATCCGGGAAGATTACTTCACAAAAAATGCTACAAGTACTTTCTAATGTTTTTTCCCCAGTGAATTTACCCGTTCTACTTTCTCATACTAAGGGTACAAGATCATCTTTACCCAAGATAAGAATAACCACATTATTTACACACATACTATGTAATTCTTGAACAAGGAATTAAGGGCACATACATCTCTTGTTATAACCTCATGGAGACTCTGAGCCTTCTCCTCAAAGTCTGCCTGTGAAACAAGCATCATCGGCATCATAGATTCATGCTAACAGTCCACAGAAATCGATACACTAACCATCAATATAGGAAAGTTTAATAACATATGATCCAAGAAAGGTCTCCCTTTGAAGGATGAAGGGGAATAATAACAAAAGTATTATTTAAGGCATACTCCTAGAAAAGTCAACATGGTAGAAATGAATCACTGTCAATGGACTAATCCGCTTCAGTCAATGAAAAACGAAGAACCTCTAATGCATGCATGCACAGATTACACGACAAATCATACGTTACGAGTCCATTGCCCCATTTACTTGCCATAAAAATGGCTCCTATTTATAGATGTGTCCTTTTTCAGATTAAGAGAGCAAGACAGAGAAAGAATCTGGCTAAAGTCTGTAGACTTGTAAAGGAAGTATGTCATTGGACCTTTGTAATGAAAATAGGAACTAATAACGAAAGGCAGATATGCAAAAAATGACAACTGATCAAGCGAAAGGCTGAGAATCGATAAGCACCAAGAGCATCAATTCTGAAAACCGAATTACGAGTACCAGAAATATAGAGAAGCACTTTGCTGGAGAGTGGAGATAGAAAATGCATATGAGAGGTAAACAGTAGCAGAAACTTACAACCAGAGGCCTTTTAAGCAGGCCGTCCTTAACTCGTTGACGCAGGTCCTCACATTCATCCTGCAAAAAATCACAGGAAGAAGCATTCTGCCTATAAAATAAATGAAAACGCCATTTCACTTTTCTCATAGGAAGAGACAGGCTGCTAGATTAAAGGTTATGCCAATCCCCCAGTTATGTACTTCGAGATTGCTAATTCGAGTTTGCTATAAAGATTCAAGCTGTGATTCCATTATTTACCTCAGTGAAATTATCATCAGAAACCTTAGAAATGGGTACATCTTTCAGCACACAGGAAACCTCCAGAAGAGAATCCCCCATTTCAGCATTCCCTGAAGTTCTCTTTACCCCTGTAATGCATACAAGATGAGCTCATCACACAAAATGGTGGATAAAACAGTCTAAGCAAGAAATTCATTCTCGCTTGAGTCCCACCTTCATCATTCAGCTAAGTACTAATAACAGCCAAGAAAATGAGAGAACTACCTTTCACCAAAACAAGCAGATGGGAGGTTTTCCTAGAGTAGTCATAAGGATCAGTCTTGATCCTCACAAAACATCCCACAACTTTAGCATCGAAGCTCTCCGGCTCCTTCATCAACTCATCCAACACATTCTTCCTCAGGTAAACGCGTTTGATATTCTCAGCAGTAACAGATGCAAACAGCCCTTTTTGCACAACCACAACCTCCTTCCCCAACTTCTGGCAACCAGCTTCGGGCCTTGATTTCCTCTTCCTCTTCTCACCAGACGACGCTACATAATCCTCACAACTCCCTTCACCAACTTCAAGCCCCTGATCAACCTCTTCTTCTATCTCCATCGCATCATCATCATCATCATTCGATAGGTTCTCGGCAAAATGCTTCCCCACGTGTGTATGGATGCCATTCTTACTGATCCACTTCCGCCTGAAAAGTGTCTGAAGTTTTGCGTCACAGAGGATCCTCTTCCTCTTCTCCGGATCAAACAGGCCGTTATCAGCACAGTACTTGGAAATTATCCCGACGACTTCTTGTTGAGACAATTGCTCGGCCGTCTCCTTCCCTATTGAAGCAAGGAACTCGAGCAGGTCCTTCGAGCCCCATCCACTGAACACCAACTTTCTTCTCATCTTCCCAAATTCGCTCAAACAACAATTCAAAAACCGGAAACGGAAATCTGAAACCCTAGCAAAGCTGAAATTAAATTTCTCCCCTGACGCAAATCCTCAACTGCCATTTCAAATAGCGCACGGGGCAACTGATCAGGAACATTTCAAACAAAACGAGAAGGCGGAATTCACAGGTCATAGAGACGAAATGCTCGAAAATAAACAGAAGGAGGAAAGGAAAAGACGAACTGTTAAGAATCAGGGGCGCGGTCTGTTCTTCCTTCCTTCCTTCAGAAACCGCCATGCAAAAAATGCTGAGAACTCCACGACTCCTCCATCGTCACACGGGTAGAATCGAGCTTAGAATGGTTGCAGTTGCTTGGAGGATTACGAAGGAAACGCACGCTCTCGCTCAGGCGCCACTGATGGGGATGAAATTTGATGATTTTCTCTGCTGAGAGTGAGAACTTTGGTGGAATGGAATGTGCCGAGTGAGACGAGAAGTGACGAGACAAGACCTGCGTTGCGAGGGATATATATTTGGGAATGGGGATCTCTTTTATTAAGTAATTAATTAAGGTATTCCAAATAATATAAAAAAATGTTGAATACCAATTTTGTTCAAGATTCAAATATTTTCTAAGTCAAAATTTGTCAAAAGTTCATAAAAAAAAGAAGAAGAATGGATATCATTTCAACAATGTTAGTTATCACGATTTTGACATTAGATTGATGAATTGGCTGACAATAATTATTTTCACAACATACCGCAACTGTCAACAATATTCATAAAACAGTTAGAAAAAGGTGCAAAGTCACCACATCACTAACATGTAACTAATTAATGTCTTTCCATCATATCTTTTCTAAGATTGTTGAAAATTAACATAACCCAACTTACTTTGGAGAAACTAATAACAAAAGGTCTAGTAAATTATAACTAGTTGATACAATCAACTCATTTTAACTCATTCTTGAATCATACCCACTATTCAATTCAACTTCAACCTGCATGCATTGCAGTCATGTTACACTTAATAGCTAATAGGAGAATCCACATAATACTCTTTTTATTATCAATTTTGTCATTTTGACGAGTTGACACATATATCTTTATATGATTCGGACAAAAACCCGAATTCGATGACTATTTACTTAGTTATGGTAAATTTCAGGTAGCAAAATTGTTCTGGATCAATGTTGTCGTCAGTGACTGATATGTCAGTCCTAGCAAAATTTATGACATTTTCTGCAATTTACCATTTTTTAGTCTAGTTAGTTAGTTGGCCGTTACAGAATATTACGTGGCGCGCTCTGAGAACTTCTTCCCTCTCCCATGCGCTCCAGAAGGAGTCGCAGAGACTGTTTGGCTGTGCCTGCTGCCAAATTCCACCGCCGCATTACCGATTTTTAGTCCGGCGACTGAAACCGAGCACCGCCGGAATTCCAATCCTTTATCGATCAACCTTTCGAATCTGCATTTCGTTTTCATACGTCACGCAAGCACCAGAAACACGCTGAAACGTCGCCAATACGACTCGCGCCTCAGATTTTCCTTTTTCCGCGCCGGGATTCCTCGTTGTTCTGTTTTTCGCTTCTAGCTAGGTCCCGCTTTTCTTTTCCGGAGAAGGGAAGAAAACGGGAACGAAGGCCATCGCAACCGCAATCGGTATGATTTCGGCGGCGCTTACTGTGTGTGAAAATTCTTCCTCTACTAGTTTCTCTATGCATGCGAGCGTTTCGATATTGTGATAGTCGTTGAATTGTGAAATTGCGACAATTGAAGTTCTTGATTGAAGAGGAAATGTTTTGGTGAATCGATTGTAGTTTGTATCTGGGTTTGAAATTGCATTAATGGTGATTGGGGGGAGTTGGAGAGTGGGAATCGGGAGTGGAATTTCCTCTTGTGTTGATGGTGAAATCTGATTATGGCGGTTTATGAAACTGTGAAGATTCTAGGGTTTCGCATTTGGGGGGAGGATTGCCTTCATGGGGAAGCTCATGGAATTGCTGGTGGCTTCTGTTATGCCGGTTCTGAAGCTACTAATCATTACTGCTCTCGGCTTGTTTCTCGCCGTTGATTCTGTCGACATTTTGGGGATGGATGCTCGCAAGCACTTGAATAATGTAAGTGAACTGAACAGTATTCCTCTTGTTGCTAATCGTAATAGTGAGCTTCTTGAATTAGTGAAGTAGGTCAACTGATGAATTATGGTTTTGACAGGTGGTCTTTTTCGTCTTCAATCCAGCTCTCATCGGTAGCAATCTGGCGAAATACATAACCCTAAAGAATGTGGTCATGTTGTGAGTTCTGTTTCGTTTACTGCCTCCGATTGTGACCCTGTAGTTGTATTCAAGGTTCTCGCGAGTTGTTTTTTTCGTTTACTTTTGATGAATGGTATGCCTTGCTTATGCTTATATATGCAGATGGTTCATGCCACTCAACATTCTCTTTACATTCATCATTGGATCGCTTCTAGGGTGGGTGCTCATTAGAATAACTGATGCACCTCATGCTCTTCGAGGTCTAGTGCTGGGATGCTGTGCTGCAGGTGGGGTTTAACTACACTGTTTTTGTGCAATGAAGCCCTTTGCTGGTGGAAGTGCTAGAGGGTGCTACTTGTGATTATAATAGCTTTGTTTCTTATTGTTTTCCCTTATTGATGATGAGTGTAGGAAATCTGGGGAATATGCCTCTCATAATCATTCCAGCTGTTTGCAAAGAGAGAGGCTCTCCATTTGGAGATGTCGATGCTTGTTATGAACATGGGTTGGCTTATGGGTCGCTATCTATGGCGGTATGAACACCTTTCCTTCTCAATTGCAGTCGGCTTGGTTGAACCCACTTGTTAAGGTAGCTATAACTGTTTATTGCTCTTGGTTTCTCAGATTGGAGCGGTCTACATGTGGTCTTATGTTTACAACATCATGCGTCTTTATTCGATTAGAAGTTCTGACGGACCGAAATTTGAAGCCTTAGCACAGGCCACAAGCTCTGCCACAGAAACTCTTGAAGGGCTTTCAACAGGTCGCTCTGGCCCGCTGCTTCCCCTGGCAAAATCTACTGCAACTGGGGGCCATACCGAATTCGAACTTGTTCCCATGACATCAGAACATAAGAATAAGGTTCTCTGATTTTTGCCACTGCATCTTCATTATATTGTATTCAATGATATACTCATATTTGAAACAAGTCCATCTGCGTTCTACATTTACTGCTGATGAAATAAGAACAGCATATCACTTCCATTAAGAGTGAAAGTAGGCATAATTTCAGTTAGTGTTTTATCTCATGCTTTAACTAACTAACTAACTAACATCAGGAATCTCACTAACATCGTTTTTAGTACAAACCATTGTTAGTTATTAGTGGCTATTTGTTTTCCTTCATTGATTCCTTATTAAGCCTCTTGACAGGTACCCTTCTTAGAGAAACTAAAGCAGGGCATACAGATATTTGGTACAATGTTCAACCTGAGGAGATTGTTTGCTCCTTCAACAATTGGAGCGGTATGCTGATATGTGACTCTCTCCTGCCTCCTCACTCCTAGCTTTATCTTTACTCTGTTGATGAACTACAAATGAAATATTACTCTACCAGGATGTTGTTTGTGTATCTGTATGAAGATAACATGTCAAATTTTACAGTATAACAAACAGTCTTAAGTTCTGAAGTTTTTCCCACACTGAAATACCTGATGCTTTATATATAGATTGTTGGATTTGCAGTGGGAATGATCCCTCACTTGCAAGGATTACTAATCGGCGATAAGGCTCCTCTTCGAGTGTTCCAAGATTCAGCTTCTCTGCTAGGGTCAGTACATAACTTCCATTACAATCTAGTGCTTGAGCAAATTGCTCGGATTTTATTTTTAGCTATCTAATAAAGGTTGTGGTTCACAGGGAGGCGGCTATTCCGACGGTCACACTGGTAGTGGGAGCAAATCTCCTAAAAGGTAAATTAATTTTGCTTCTCTATCTCCTTCTGCTTGCTGACTTGGGGGAAAAAGCACACTGCTAAATGGGAACCCATAATTTTCCATCTCCAGGTTTGAAGGGCTCGGAAGTCCGGTTATCAGTGATTGCCGGGGTAATCATGGTTCGCTACGTCGCCTTACCGTTGACAGGAGTTGTCATCATCAAGTCTGCAGTCCACTTGGGATTAGTGCAGCGTGATCCACTGTATCAATTTGTTCTCCTACTTCAGTTTGCACTTCCTCCGGCAATGAACATAGGTCTGTTTCGTCAGTTGCACAAGGCATAACCCAGTTTGATTCTTTTGTTTGCCGGAGAACATCCAACCGATTGATCCCTTGGCATGCAGGTACAATGAGCCAGCTGTTTGGGACGGGAGAGAGCGAGTGTTCTGTGATCCTGCTTGCAAGTTATGCTTTGGCATCAGTAGCAGTCACGATTTGGTCGGCGATTTTCATGTGGTTGGTAGCATAACTATAGGTGCTGAACATAACACGAGAGGCAAAAGCATTCCCCCACAACAAGAAAAGAAAAACTGGCATTGTAGATGTAAGGCTTCTTCTGCTGTTGTTTTTCCTTTGACATGGTAAGGCTTGTAGATTCAATACTTTGATATTACGTCAAGAAATAGTAACTAGCCTCAATAACCCAAATTCTTAATAGTAACTGTCACCACTCCGCTCGGGTGTATTTGTAGAATGTCAATGTATAGGCATGTCTGTGATTGAACGAAGTCCTTTTTGGATTTCAACAGGAACAGCCTCTTTATCTTGGGCATGTTGAGCTTTCTGAAAGGGGTAGCTGAGATCTAACTTTGCCTTATGAACAGAGTCTGCGGCACTTAACTCGACCAGGAGACTTTCAGTTCTAAAAAATGGTTTTGGAGGCGGGGTTGCTTGGTTGGTCTCCATCTCTCTCCTCTGAAGTTCGGAAAGTCAGCCTCGTTAAAGCTTCCAACCTCAAAAATTCATGGGGGATAGGATAACAGGGGATAAGTGATGACTGATTCAAAAATGTGGCGTTGGTAAACAGGGGCTTCAGTTTCACCAAGGCCCAAGAAGCTTCTTTATTCAATCGAAGGCGCAAATGAAAAGATAAACGACAGCGTTTCGAAGGGAGGTAGGCGTACGGTCAGGGAAAATTGGGCTTCCATTAGACAAAGGGCCAGAAAAGCTATTTAATTAAAAGCCCAAATTACTGAAATTCCGGTGACGTTCCAGGAAGGAGGGCAGGCCTGCAACCAGAGAAAATCAGAAATCCTTGCGAAAATGAAGAACGAGTTTCCGTTCGAAACGCCAAACGGAATGAAAAGCTTCTTCTTTATTTAACTGAAGGCCCGAAGGAAATATAACCCGCAGCGTTTTGGAAGGGAGATGGGAATAAAGGTTGGGCTAAAGTGGGCTTCCTTTTGATAATGGCCCAAACAAGTTTATCTTCCATTTAATTAAAGGCCAAAGAACCGGAAATGCGGCAACGTTTCGGGAGCAAGGTAGGCTAACGTTCGGAGAAAACTGTGAACATCTAAGAAAGGGAAAACGGGCGTCAGAAACGGCTGAAACTCGAAACGTTTCTTGTCCTCAAAACCCAAATCGAAACGCGATAAATTGACGAGAAAGTGAAATTGACGAGATCTCGCGATATGACGTAAATATCGCGATATTTACGCGTTTTATTGACTTTCTGCGATATATTGACCGGGTGCTGAATTTTCCCCTCTGACTACCAAAAAACCGAGGGAAAAACCAGAAATACACCGGACGATCGCATCAAAATACGGGGAAACAACACAGCAATGATTCGGTGAATGAACTTTGCCAAGATTCCTGCATCGAATTGGGAGACTAACTAACACTGCGCTTTTGCCGTGCGGAGAAGAAATCGCTGCAGGCGCTTCGGCCGGAGGAAGCGGCACCTATCCGGCGCGGCGGCAGTAAAAGCAGCGAGGAAGCGGGTTTCTGTGGGCCGGGGTGAAATCGAAAAAAACTCCCAAATATCTACTTCCTGATCTGTTACTCTATCAGTACTCCGCCTTCTTGCCTCTTACTTGCCACAAGTAGTTCGTTGGCGTGTCTGCATCTCGCTGGCCTCCTCTGTATATCGCCGGTGGGCTTATCTTTTGGTCTGGCAGTTGGGCAAATCGGATGAAATATCCAAACTGGTCGATTAAGAGACCTAATAAGCTGGAGGAAGCAGATATCTGTTATGACCCAGATGATCGTTCGGAATAATTCCCTAAATACACATAAAACTAAAATAAATTCCTAAACTACCACACTTTTAAAAAAATTTTCCAAAATACCTAAGTTTGGAGTGGTTCGAGTTTGAGAAATTCGAACTACTAACCGGTTCGAGTGTAGGAGACTCGATCTAGTCATAGATCGATGATATAAGCCTCGAACCATGTGGGGCTGAAGTGGTTCGAGTAATCCAAACGTCGCAAAGTTTTTTTTTATTTCGCATAATTTTTTGAATACTACAACATTTACTAGGAATAAATTTTCAAAATAGGAATAAATTTTAATATAAGGGGTTTTGGGAGTAACTTTAACTTTAATTTTCACATTTTCACATATATTATGAAAATATTTCTATTATAAAGTTGTAGTCCTCGAAAAGTTATGCGAAATGAAAAAAAAGTTTGCTACGATCGGATAACCGAGCACAAAGTTAAGGTGGTTGGAAATTTCAAAGGAGTGGTTCGAGTTCACTAAACTCGAACCACTTCAGCCCCACATGGTTCGAAGCTTATATCATCGATCTACGACTAGATCGAGTCTCCTACACTCGAACCAGTTAGTAGTTCGAGTTTCTCAAACTCAAACCACTCCAAACTTGAGTATTTTGGGAATTTTTTTTAAAAGTGTGGTAGTTTAGGAATTTGTTTTAGTTTTATGTGTATTTAGGGAATTATCCCTTCACAAGAATTAATCATCAAATCAGCATGTGAAAACTCCAAGTAACCATTAACAATCAAATGTAGCATAACCAGGACGAGTCATGGTTACTATATTTTATTTAAAATAAGAAGAAAATATTTACTATGTTTTATTTAAAATAAAAAATATTTACTAGCGACTAATACTAACAGGCAAATTACATTTTGTCACGAATGGAATATTTGTAGAGACAAATATTAGTACATATAGAGACATAGCGTAAATTTATTGCGTTTAAGGTACTTTTAGAGGCAGATATTGCATGCATCTCAAGTTTCTCGACAATCCAATAGCGACGAACATGTGCATTGTGGGAGGAGGATCTTGAACTACGAATAGTTTGATCCAAGATTCCAATACCAGGCACGTAAGAAGCCATTTCCGGAATTAAGTGGAGACATTCATTTCGTCGTCCCTTTAACGTTCACAAAAGACCTCTCTATTTTCAGCAACGAACTCGATCAATTGGCGGGCTGGTCGCCTTTGCGTCTAGCTTTTTTGGCTTTAGGTAAAGAAAAAGAAATCAATTTGCCCAAAGGGAGGTGAGTAGTTCCTCTTTTCTCTCCTTTAAATTGCCATGTATGTTTTCGGAGTGCTACCCGGCCCTTTGCAATATACGTTTCTCTTTACAAATGCATAATTTGGTGGAATGAGCGCATACAAAATTATCCATGCAATTATAGGTTTAACAACTATATAAATAAGCTATCACCGGAACGAAGACCTTGCCGACCCACTGCGGCTCCGGTATGGCGGCGTAGGACTGCGGCGCCGACTGATCGCCGTCTTCGTAATCAAAATGAGGAAGAGTGCAGACGTCAACGCATCGATCGAGGCACCAGGAACCCGACCAGCTTCTGTTGCAGTGCTTGTCCAAGCACTCCTGGTAACATGCCACGAAGGCAGCGCTGTCGCCGCCGCCGTGTGATCCCAGAAACTCTTCGCCGTCGTTGCCCGGCCGTCATTGGTTGTTTGAGAGAGAGAGATGTTGCAGTGCATATATCGAGTTGGTGATGGTGTTAATTATCACTAGTAAAAGTTAGTGGTGGTGAAAGTGATATTAACCCATGTATATGGCCGAACCCTAGTTTTTGTCGTGTAAAGGGTTAAGGCATAGCATATATATATTGCTCTTGTAGGCTACTGTAGCCGTCAAGTTAGAGTTGTGAAGTTAGTAAATAAAAGTTCAGCCGAGAAGCTCTTGAAGAGCTTCTCCGTGGATTAGTCCCGTTCACATCGAACGGGGATACCACGTAAATCGTTCGTGTTCGTTTACTCTTTCCGCGTTCTACATATTTTACATGGTATCAGAGCTATCAAGATCGTACCGCTGTTAGTTCCCGATGGGTGACGATACGGAAAAGGGATTCGAGTCTGGTCACGGTACCAATAGCGTTTCTCTTGGGTCGTTGAAGCTAGAACACGATCCCGTCTCACCGTACTTCATCAGTCAGTCTGATAATCCTAATCAGGTATATGTTGGGGAATTGTTAACCGAAGCTAATTATGCTGATTGGGTTCATGATATGTCGAATGCCTTGCTTGCTAAGAATAAGCTAGGGTTCGTCGATGGTTCTTTTCCTGCGCCATCGGATTCTCTCGAGCTACGAAGCTGGCGTCGTGCTGACGCCATGGTCAAGGGGTGGCTGACCTCTGCCATGGACAAGCAAGTACATCGTGGGACTCGGTACGCACACACTGCTCGTGAGGTCTGGGTGGATTTGCAGGAGCGTTTTGCTCAGAGTAGTGCTCCTCGGGTCTATGAAACCCGTGGTCGTATTAGTCGTCTTCCACAAGAGAAGTTATCTGTTCCGGCATTTTATACGCATCTGCGTAATCTCTGGGAAGAGGTACAGTCAATGGCTCCACTCCATCTATGTTCGTGTGGTCAGTGCACTTGTGGAGCTGATCGTAAGAATCAAGAGCGCGAGGAAACTTTTCGCCTCTATGATTTCCTCATGGGTCTTGATGAATCATTCTCCACTGTCAAGACACAAGTTCTGTCTATGAAAACCTTGCCCACCTTGTCGGAGGCCTACCAGCTAGTTTCTAACGATGCTCATCAACGTCGCCTTGCCGTTAGCAATCGTCCCGGCCCTGAAGCCGCGGCTTTTCTAGTTCAAGATGACACGGCTGCTGGTGCGTCTTCTTCTGATGGGCGTAGTCGCCACCAATGCACTCATTGTGGAAAGATTTGGCATCTCAAAGACAGGTGCTACGATCTTATTGGGTGGCCGGAACGCCCGCCCTCAAAGTTTGACGCTGCTAAACGGAAGCAAGGGGCTGAACGTCCCCGGTCCACTCCAAAGGCTGCTGCTGTCGATGTTGGCGAGAGCCCGGTCGCGGGTTTAAGCATGTCGCAGCTTGCACAACTCAAGGAATTCTTGGCTGGGTCTTCATTCTCTCCAGAAGCTTCTGCCACCAAGCTCACTGGTATTTTATCTCGTTCTTCTTCATGGGTTTTAGATTCCGGCTGCAACGAGCACATCGTTCATGATGTGTCTCTTCTTTCGAATGGTTATTCACCTTCTGATTTGCGGGTAGGGATTCCCAATGGGGTCTCCGTTGATGTTACCCAAGTTGGGTTTGTATGCATGAGTAACGGGATGGTTTTGCCCCGTGTTCTGTTGGTTCCGGAGTTCAAATGTAACCTTTTATCCATCAGTCGACTCACACAGGAGTTTCCCATTGCACTGATCTTCCTTCGTGATTTCTGCATCCTGCAGGACTTGCGTTGCAAGAGGATGATTGGGATGGGCCAGCAACGTGATGGGTTATATTATCTCCGGCTTTTTGACGATGTTCGGGAGGCTGCCGTCCATGCTGCCGCGGGTGAAGGTTCCTCGTCCGTTCAGTTGTGGCATGCTCGTCTTGGTCACCCGTCCATGTCAAAGTTGTCTTCATTTCCCTTTATTTCGGCTGCTGAACAGTTATCTGTGGATCATTGTTCTTCTTGTTTACGGGCAAAACAGACTCGTAGTCCTTTCCCGTCCAGTTCTATTAAGACTTCTCGTCCTTTTGAGTTGGTTCATGTTGACATTTGGGGTGGTTATAAAGAACCCTCGTTGAGCGGTGCTCATTATTTTTTCACTCTGGTTGATGATTTTTCTTGTGCTGTATGGGTTTACCTTCTTCGTTACAAATCGGAGGTGGCTGGTTATTTGATGATGTTCTGTCAACAGGCTAAACGTCAGTATCGTTCCTCTGTTGTTCGTATCCAGGCAGATAATGGTATGGAGTTCCAAACAAATGTTCTTAAAGAGTACTACGAGCATGAAGGGATTGTGCTACAAACCTCATGCACCGACACCCCGCAACAGAATGGGGTTGTCGAGCGTAAACATCGGCATTTATTGGAGATGGGTCGGTCTCTTCGCTTTCATGCGAATTTACCGATTACTTTTTGGGGTGAATGTGTACTTACAGCGGCCTACCTCATTAATCGTCTCCCATCTCCAGTCATTGTGAATCTCACCCCGTTTGAGCATCTCTTTGGCAAGAAGCCAACGTACCATCATCTGCGCACATTTGGTTGTCTCGTGAGCAGTTCAATTACCTGGCCTCCAAGCTAGGCCTTCACGATATTCACGCCTCAGCTTGAGGGGGAGTGTTGCAGTGCATATATCGAGTTGGTGATGGTGTTAATTATCACTAGTAAAAGTTAGTGGTGGTGAAAGTGATATTAACCCATGTATATGGCCGAACCCTAGTCTTTGTCGTGTAAAGGGTTAAGGCTTAGCATATATATATTGCTCTTGTAGGCTACTGTAGCCGTCAAGTTAGAGTTGTGAAGTTAGTAAATAAAAGTTCAGCCGAGAAGCTCTTGAAGAGCTTCTCCGTGGATTAGTCCCGTTCACATCGAACGGGGATACCACGTAAATCGTTCGTGTTCGTTTACTCTTTCCGCGTTCTACATATTTTACAAGAGAGAGAGAGAGAGAGAGAGAGAGAGAGAGAGAGAGAGGGGTGGGGATGAATTGAAGTTGGTGTGTGGATTATTATAGAACCTAACTTACTACTTTAGTCTTTAGCTAGGTCGCTTTTTTTCCCGGCAACAGCAATCCATGCAAACTTTCTTTCAATTCAATAATCCCTTTCCCCTTTGGATCTTGGACTCTTTATCCATTATTGGAGTGCTGTTCGAATGCATCGGTCGAATAAGGTGGTCGGTCGAATAACGGGTCAAAGGGGTTGCTTTTGTTGAGATTGTGAACTTTGGTAGAAGAAATTGATAGCAATCAAAGCGTGATTTGCATTATGGTATTCTGTTCTCTATATACACGTTTACAGGGGAAGTAGTTCAGAGTTTTAAGGAGAGGTTATAGGTAGTAGGGGAGTGGTTATACAGGTGTGGGCAAATAATAAAATAAAGAGAATAAAGAATTTTATTCTTTATCTCTAATACGCCCCCGCAAGATGGAGGCCGTGTCAACGACTCCAATCTTGGACCGAAGAAGAAGAAATCGAGGGGCAGCCAGTGGTTTAGTGAGCACATCGGCGAGTTGCTGTGCAGTGGGAATGTAACGAACGGAGAGACGACCATCTTGAACCAGTTGACGAACAAAGTGATAATCAAGTGCCAAATGCTTCATCCGCGAATGAAACACTGGGTTGGAACTAAAACTCGTGGCCCCAAGATTGCCGGAGAAGAGCGTAGGTGAGGAAGATAAGGGTTGATGTAGTTCGGTCAAGAGATTTTGCACCCATTCGACTTCAGCAGCGGCATAAGCGATAACACGATATTCGGCTTCAGTGCTGGAGCGAGCAACTGTGCGTTGCTTTTGAGATCACCAGGAAATGAGGGTGGAACCCAGGTACAGGAGATAAGCAGATGTGGAGGTGCGATCATCCATATTACCCGCCCAATCAAAGTCTGCAAAGGAGGTAAGTCGTAACGGCATACTCGTGCGGTTGATAGCAAGACCAAAGGAGATCGTGTCACAAACATACCTAAGAAGGCGTTTGAGACACTACCAATGATAGGAGCTGGCGGCATGCATATACTGGGAGAGCTTATTCACGGAGAAATCAATGTCAGGACGAGTGTAGACAAGATACTGCAGTGCCCCTAAAACCTAGCGGAAGCGAGTAGCATCAGTGGGAGAGGTGCCATCCTTGAGGGTCAAAGTCGCAGAAGAAGCAAGTGGAGTAGAGACTGGTGCGGCATCAAGCATATGAAACCAGGTCAGGAGATCAACCATGTACTTGTGTTGAGATAAAACATAGTCGGTGGGTGTGGGAATAACCTCAATGCCCAAGAAGTAATCAACATCGCCTAGTTCTTTGAGTGAGAAACGGCGTTCAAGGGTATGCTGGAAGGTGGAAAGAGTAGTGGCGTCATTACCAGTGAGCAGGAGATCATCGACGTACACCAGGAAATATAGAAGGATGTCGGAATGGTGGTAGACAAACAATGATGCGTCAGACTGTGTCTTCCGAAAACCAAACTCAAGCAGAAAAGAACTTAGAGCAATGTACCAAGCACGAGGTGCCTGGCGAAGACCATAGATCGCACGACGAAGGCGGCAAACATGGGTCGGACGCTGAGGATCCACAAACCCAGGGGGTTGGGCCATATATACCTCTTCAATAAGAGGGCCATGAAGAAAGGCATTATTAACGTCAAACTGCTTGATCGGCCAACCCTGAGAAAGGGCAAAGGTGAAGACAGTCCGTACAGTAACTAGTTTGACAACAGGGCTGAAAGTATCCTGGAAGTCAACCCCCGGACGTTAATGAAATCCCTTGGCCACAAGACGGGTCTTAAAAAGATTAAGTGAACCATCAGAGTGATGCTTGATGCGATAGACCCAACGATTGCCAAGGACATTGAAGTGCGGCTGGCGAGGAACCAAATCCCACGTATGATTTTGTAGCAAAGCTGTATGTTCTTTGCGCAGTGCAACATCCCATTCAGGAAAGCGCATGGCTTCTTGTACAGACCGAGGCTCAAGTGGAACAAGCCGGGACATGGTGGTATGAAGGGCCGGAAATAGTCGTTTGGCCGATAGATCCCAGCCTGAGCCCGTGTTGTCATCCTGTGCGGGCGGAGAACTGGGGGAGGCACAGCCGGCTGGGTGGAAGTGGCCTAGGGCGAGGAGTTCTCAAGCCCGGAGGGAGGGGGTCCAGCAGGCCCAGTCGACAAAGGGAGGCGAGGCAGGGACCCAGCAGTGGAAACCGACCCTGCAGGCCCGGGCGCATAAGTTGGTGGAGGCGGAGGCCCAGTTGGGCGTGAAGGGGAGGCCGACCCAGTCGCGGATTGTGAGGCCATGAAGGGATCCACACGCAGGGGTCCACGTGTTGTTGATGGGGCAGCTGAAGAGGTAGATGTAGAGAGCTTGGTGAGTGGAAGATGGATAATGTTTGGGCCCAATCATGTAACCAGGAGTCCACGGAGGGAGGATCTGCAAAATGGTTAGTCAAAAAACCAGGGAAGGAATCCTCAACAAAATGGACGTGACGTGAGAGAAAAATACGATGAGTGGTAGGGTCAAGACACCTATAGGCACTGCGCTGGGGGCAATAACCAATAAAGATGCAAGGACGGGAACGAGGATCCAATTTATGAGCAGAGTAGGGACGTAACCAAGGATAACAAAGACAACCAAACACACGTAATTTATGATAATTAGGAGCAAGGTTGAACAAAGTTGTGTAAGGAATTTGACCACGAAGTGCAGAGGAGGGGAGGCGATTAATCAAATAGGCAGCAGTGGAAAAAGCAAAGGACCAAAACAGGGTGGGAAGATTAGCATGATGCAGGAGAGTAATACCAGTTTCGACAAGATGACGATGCTTACGCTCAGCTAGACCATTATGCTCAGGGGTATGTGGAGGCGTTAGAAGATGAGTAATGCCATGATGAACAAGAGTGGAGCATAATTTCTGAAACTCACCACCACCATCAGAATAAAGGCAATGTATGGTGGTGGAAAAATAATTTTCTACCACCGTGCGGAAATCAAGAAACACAGAGAGCACATCAGATTTGTTTTCCAAGGGATAATACCACGTATAACGGGAAAAATGATCAACAATTATTAAATAAAAATAATAACGAAAACCATCAAAGGAGGTAACCGGAGCCGGTCCCCAAGCATCCGTATACAATAAATCAAATGGTCTGGTACTTGTCAAAGAAGACATGGCAAAGGGAAGTTTATGACTTTTATTGGAAAGACATGAATGACAATGACTACTGATAATGGAGGACGATACTGGTAAAGAGTGGGAACGAAGAAGGTTTTGGAGGGTTTGAGTGGACGGATGACCAAGACGCACATGCCAGGATGCAGAGGTGGTGCGAGTGGTGACAAGAGCGAAACGAAAATTATCCACATCACTAGACAACTCATAAACATCGCCATTATTTGCCCCTTTAAGCAGTGGCGCCCCCGTGCGAAGATCCTTCACAACAGAACAATCAGCAAAAAATTCCACCGAAATGGGATTAGCACGACAAAGCTTGGCAATAGAAATAAGCTTGCGTTTGATGGCAGGGGCACATAAAACATTGTGCAAATGAAAGGAAGATGACGAGGAATGCAATTGAGTGGACCCAATATGTGTGATTTGCAAACCTGTGCCATCGCCAACAAGGATCTTATCTGGGCCAGTGTAATCAGAATAGAGTGATAAGTTGCCTAAATCAGATGCGACATGATGAGAGGCCGTTGAATCAAGTAACCATGGGCCATAAGAGGCAGCCGGACTAGCAACAGTGTGATGGGCTTGAGACTGACGAGCCTGGTAGGCTTGGCGGGCCTGCGGAAAGAGCTTAAAACACTGGCGGATCGAATGGCCCGGTCGGTCACAATATTGGCAGACAATGGACTGCCCGCGTGAAGAAGCAACTAAGGGAGGCCCATTGTAAGGAGAATGACGAAATGGGCTTTGGGCCAGTGGAGAGTCAGCCTTGGAAAAATCGTCCCGCTGGGAGGAAGGCCTGGACTGCTGGCTGGATGAAATTGGGGAGCCTCCAAACCCTCGCTGGGATCGGGAATGGAAGGAGGCGCCGCCTCCCTGTCGCTGCTGATGGTGAGAAAGGAAGGCTGTGGGAACAGAGGTGCGGACTTGTGCCTTTAGATCAGACTCGTATTCAACGTGTGAATCCACAAGATCCTCCAGAGTAAGGCCCGGTCTGCGAGCACGAACAGTAGCAGCAAAGGCAGTATATTCGTCGCCCAGGCCACGAAGACAGAAGACCACCATATCCATATCGGAAACCGGCGCACTGACAAGTGCCAGTTCGGCGGCGAGACTTTTCAGATCATTCAGAAACGTCAAAACATCATTCTCTCCCTTCACAGTCTTGGCCAATTTAGTCTTCAAATGGATGACACGAGATGGAGCACTACTCGCGTATAACTTTTCAAGAATCAGTCACGCTTCGCGTGACGTAGAAGCCGCAGAGACAAAGGAATAAATAGACTCAGAGATGGAACAGCGCAAGGCATGTAATATGAGCTTATCTTGGAGAAACCAATATTGATACTTGATAGGCCGGATTGGATTGAGAGGCAGCCTCCACATTGACCGTGCGGGGAGGAGCAACAGTGGAGCCATCGATGAAGCCGAACAGATCAAGGCCCATAAGGAGAGTTTCAAGTTGAGATCGCCATGAGGCAAAATTAGTGGGGGTGAGCTTCAGGGGAAGCTGAGCGGCAGGATTGAACGTCACAATGACAGGGATTTCAGCAGTGGCAGCGGTGTCGTGGATAGTGGAACTATCGGACATTTTGACAAAGAACAGAGTGGCCGAAGAAGCCAGAGACAAGAGAAAAAAAATCAAGAAGGATGAAATCGGATCGATACTAGCGGACCGTTGCTAGCTCTGATACCATGTTGAGATTGTGAACTTTGGTAGATGAAATTGATAGCAATCAAAGCGTGATTTGCATTATGGTATTCTGTTCTCTATATACACGTTTACAGGGAAAGTAGTTCAGAGTTTTAAGGAGAGGTTACAGGTAGTGGGGGAGTGGTTATACAGGTGTGGGCAAATAATAAAATAAAGAGAATAAAGAATTTTATTCTTTATCTCTAATAGCTTCCACCCAAGTGAGATCGAGCATCTCTTCTCTTCTCCTTTGACTACCTAAGGCATTGTTTCCACTGACCGGCGGCGGTACGGTAGATTCTGGGAAAGGGAGTGTAGCGGCAGAGGTTTTTTTTTTATAGTTTTTATGTGAAAAATAATTATATACTAAGTAGGGGCAAAATAGTCATTTCATCTGGTCAACTAACAGAAATTCTGGCAGAATGGTAGATTTGTTATGTGTTCATAATTAAAGGATTAAAATGGTATATTTGTTAACTTGCAATAGTAAAGGGTATAAAATATTATTATCCTTTTTTAATATTAAGTGTCCAAAATTAATTTTTTGCATATAAGTTCAACAAAATAGATGGTAAATTATATTTTAGTACCTAATTTTTTTCTTACATTTTGATACTTTAATTTTTTAAAATTTACAAATAGTTCAAAAGTTATGAGATTTTCACTATGTTTTAAGAAATTTGTGGTCTACTTCATAAGATTTTTGGTATGCTTTAAAAAAATTGTGATTTGTTTTAATAAACTTGTGGTATGTTAGGTTTCTGATATACTTCAGGAGACTTGTGGTCTGCTTATTGAGATTTTTTGTATGCTTTAAAAAAATTGTGATCGGTTTTAATAAAATTTTTGGTCTGCTTTATGCGATTTTCGGTATGATACAGGAGAGTTATGGTATGTTTGATGAAGCTTCTGATATGCTAAAAAAAATATAGGTGAGATTGTAGTTTCCTGTCTTTTATCCTATTGAACGTAACGAAATGGTAAGCTTTTCTACAAGTAGTAGCTATATATGTTACAGATAAAAATCCTCCGGAAAATTGATTGATTTATTTATTTATTTATTATGGTAAGTAGATTTGACAAAATTTGCTTATATAAATACATCATATCTTAAAAATGGGTAAGAATTATTTTAGATTCAAATCCGAGATTCTTACCAACATTGTTAACAGAAAAAATATATATATACATACATACCAATAAAAGATGATACACCTTGTATACATACCAATAAAATGTATAGAGACATTACAATTTCCTTATACATCATGCATGCTCAATCAGATCCGAAATCGCAGTTCTGATTTCCTTATGGAGATGATTCTTTAGACCTGTAAATTACGACTTTCCATATACATCGATACCCATCTTTGTTTCCCAGTAATATATATAAGAAAGAAGAACAATTAATAGAATAGAGGTTGAACTCGAAGAACAACGACAATTAATTAACCCACTAGAGTAACTCACAAAGAAAAGGGGGGTAAAAAAAAGAGATGGAGGGCAGAAGAAAGGCTCTGAATGGTTCAGTATGGCTGTTGCTGTTGGTGGCTGCGATGATGATGGGAAGGCAGCAAGTCGTTTTGGGAGGTAGGGCCGACTTCAAAAAGTGCTACGACGACTGCATGAAGAACTGCAACCAACCTATAGGCACAGAGCAGTGCAGCATTGACTGCGTGGACAAATGCAAACCTCCGTCGGCAACGGGCAGTACCCTTGGTTATGTTGATCATCGTGGTGTTCATTGATCAGTATGACATATGCTTTTTGTTTTCTTTCTTCGAAAACTGGATTAAAAAATCAAAATAGATCATGTTGCGTGGTGTTTCTGATATATTATTAATAAAGATTTCCTACTTTGGATTTTATTGTTCCGGTGTTATATATATATGATTGCAAGGGAATGATGTAAGATCAATTTTTAGACTTCTTTCAAGAATTCCGAGTCAATATTATTGCAGCTTACTCTAACTGCCTCTCCAGAAATTTTGTAAGTGCTATGCTTGAATGTGTAAACCATTTTCTCCATCATCTATCCGGAAGAGGTAGGATGACACCTAAATTTTTTTTCGGGATAAAAATTATTAACCAATCAGAATATTTGGGAATTTCGATCCACTACACAAAATATGATTTCATATAAATAGAAGCGAATCTATTATATCACACATTAGACTATTTGCTTATGCAGTTCTCAATATTGGGTTTACCCATTTAAACTGTATTGAAAAGAATATTTTCAACTTTGAGTTACATTAAGAACTCGAAACTCAAATACCCAGAACTCAAATATACGCTCAATTAACAAATGATTGTTAATGGATTACATAAAAAAGACTTAGTTAAGAGTATAGAAAATAAAATGTATTTTAAAATTATTTCGAAATGTCAAAAACATATTGTGGTTGTTTATTTAAACAGAGCTTTTATTAGTCGGTCATATTTTTCTTTTAAGCGAATTACTTGTGTATCAATATTATTTTAACTATATGTTTTAAATAGCTATTCTTATAGTTATTCATGTTAAAAGGACACTACCGAATCAAGCACAACTTTAAGAATTGTTTGAGGAACTATTGCCACATGCCTGCTTGCTAAGGGCCATACTCTTAACTAGCATTGGGCTCGGTCCATTGACTGGTATAGTATAGAACATCGATATGTATTGGGTTTTACTCTATGCATAATGAATTGCGATGAAAATTATATTATGTACCAAGAACGTTTCGACTACACAGATGATTTTGCCTTCTCATTAGTGTGTTCTACCATTGTGAAACCAATTGTAGGCCTTCAGAAGTATAATCTTTTGATGCTTGATAGCCCTTCAAAAGTATAACTTTTGGATGCTATCCCACTTCACTTTCCAAACATGGAGTAGATTTTGTTGGGAGAGTTTCCTTGGAAACCACTCACAAAAAAAATTTTCAAGTAAATTTCATGCTATTGTGTGTTTCTTTTATTCCATAGTGCACATTATATTAAAAACACCTACTAAATCTTATTAAAATCACCCTACTAAGGTTAGAGCAGGTTAAATGGTTTCTTGTTTTTGAGCTTGTGATCCTTTTTATCTATATCCTGCTTTAGCAGAGAGGTATCACTATCTTCTGCTATTTATGGCCCCTAACTCTACTAAACCTCTCCACAATGCACATTTTAGTAAAACCACCTACTAATAAAGCTCCATAAAGAACATCTAAAATTTATAAATAGTAATCTTAAGAGTCATTCTACTTCAAGCCAACAAACAAATCATGAAAGTTAAATTTCTAACGGAGTGCCACAGCAAAATCTTAGATTTAGAATATTGTAAAAACAAACCATTCGCAAAATCCAAATATGAAAAACATAATACTTAAAACAAACTTAACTAATCATGGAAAAACAAACTTAACTAATCATGATAGCTAAGCTTCTAAATGGTTGCCACCACACAATCTAAAAGTTCTTATATTGTAGAAACAAACCATTCATAAACATCTCACTATGGCAAACAGGCCCTTCACTGCACAAAGCTTGTATCAGTACTACTTCAGTTTCTTGGGTCACATTCGTCCCTATATTTCCTTTTCTGCCCTGTGAAGATTGTCCCTCCATGAACCTCAGGAGTTGGCTTAGTCTTGCTGGTGTCCTCCAAGCAGGAGTTGCACTTGTGTGGAGTTGACTTCCTGTCTCGCTCAATTGTTGCAATCAAATTAGAGTAATACAATAAATTAATTAACCTTCTACCCTCTTCTATTATATGAATGGATGCGTTGCATATATATTCATCACTTACCCCAAGTGTATCATGCTCCATACTAACCACAGAATACTCAGCTTGAGGATTCAAAAACTCATAACTGAGTAAATTTTAACATGTAATTTCAGTCTACACGTTCATAACTTGCTGGATTTGTGGAGGAATGGGGTCTTTCTTCCTCTGACTTGCTTGGAATAATACATTAACCACTTCTCCAAAGAAACGCAGACCCTGACGCTCCAAAATAGAAAATAAGCTTCACCGTAATCATCTTGCAAACGGAGTTTCACTCTATACCTAGAGCCAATATGCAATCAAACTGAAAATGTCATCATTTTCATGTCTATTCCTTCGAGTCAACTAACGACATGGTTCCTATAACATTGAAACAACAAAATTGCAGTTTGCAGTTTGCAGGAAAACATAATCAGGTTAGAAGCTTACTTGGCTTTTGCAATCGCACATGGTGTCTTGTAGTGTCCATAAAAGTACTCCACCGTGTGCTCTTCCACTTTGTGAAGGCATACAACTCATCCCATGTACCACCAGTTAGATAGTTCTCAGTCACTTGCCCTTCAACAGAAAACATCTTCTCCTAAAATTGACAGCAAATAATATATAATAGTATATAGAAGTGCCGAAATGCTGCTTGATTGTAAAGAAAAAAACCTAACAATCTGCTCTTCTATAATTTTGAATTCATGGAGTTGAACAATAGGACATCATATGCTATATAATAACAATGTCATTATGCAATAAACAAAGTATATTAGAGAAGCTGAATATAAAAACTTCATTCATAAAATAAGAGAACTTTTAAATTGAATGTTGATACTCTTTCAGTACTCCGCCTTCTTGCCTCTTACTTGCCACAAGTAGTTCGCTGGCGCGTCTGTATCTCGCCGGTGGGCTTATCTTTTGGTCTGACAGTTGGGCAAATCGGATGAAATATCCAAACTGGTCGATTAAGAGACCTAATAAGCTGGAGGAAGCAGGTATCTGTTATGACCCAGATGATCGTTAACAGGAATATAATTAATCATCAATCAGCATGTGAAACTCCAAGTAACCATTAACAATCAAATGTGTAGCATAACCATAATAAATCTAGCCTATGCAAACGAAAGAACACGAGAGTTTTACGTTGTATCCTCGGTCGAGTATTGACCGAGACTAATCCACGGGAGAGGGCTGCCTCTCCGACTTGATCTTATTATTATTTGCCGCTAGGTTACACTGGCCGAATGGCCTACACACCTTTTATACTCCTCGTCTCCTAGGTTTACATAACATGAACGTGAACTCAAATTCAACCTAGGACAAGGACTCCTTGTCGTACAAGTAACAGCATGGAAACAACTTGTAGACAGGCCCGGGCCCACATGGGCTGACTTGGGCTCAACTTCATCCCGATCCAATACGCCCCCACAAGCTGGACGGTGAAGGTCACGAACGTTCATCTTGGACAGTAAGAACCGAAAACGATATGCACCCAAGCCTTTGGTGAACAAATCAGCAACCTGGAGATGTGAACTAACCTTGAGAGGAAGAATGTCACCGGAAATGAATCGTTCTCTGCCAAAATAACAATCCATTTCCACGTGCTTCGTCCGCTCATGAAACACAGGATTAGCTGCAATGTGAAGAGCAGCTTGATTATCACAGTAGATAGGAGTCGGTTGAGACTGCGAAACCCCTAACTCATGAAGAAGCCATCTTAACCAAAGAACTTCACTAACCGTGCTAGCCATAGCACGATATTCAGCTTCAGCTGACGACCGAGCAACCACTTTCTGTTGTTTAGTTCTCCAGGAAATGGGAGCCGAACCAAGAGAGATGAAAAAACCACTGGTAGACCGACGAGTAGACTGACAACCGCCCCAATCTGCATCACAGTGAGCAATCAGCTCCAGTGAATTGGTGGCGGGAAAATAGAGACCTTGACCTGGTGAGTTCTTCAAGTATCGAAGAATCCTCATTGCTGCGTCCATATAAGCTTGAGTTGGAGCATGGACAAAGCGACTGAGTATATTGACCCCATAGGTTATATCGGGACGAGAAACAGTGAGATAAAGTAATCGTCCAATTAACCGCCGGTAAGAAGAGCCATCGGCAAGGGGAGAGGAACCTGGCTTAGTCAACTGATGGTTTTGCTCTACCGAGAAAGCACTGGGACGAGAACCAAGTACACCAGCCTCGGTAAGAATATCCAAGACATATTTCCGTTGACTAAGAATAATCCCGCGCGGAGATCGAGCAACTTCCAATCCCAAGAAATAACGAAGAACACCAAGATCCTTGATACTGAACTTTTGATCAAGAACCTTCTTCACATGATCGATGAAGTCCATGCTATCTCCAGCTAGAATGACATCATCCACATATATCAACGCAACGACAAAGACATTCTCTCGACGATAAACGAAAAGAGAATGATCCGCTAGGGACGCGCGGAAACCGAGTTCGCCAAGCGCATTGGTGAACTTTTGATACCAATTACGCGAGACTTGACGAAGTCCATAGATAGACTTGTGAAGGCGACAAACACGATTGTCACCTGGACTAGCAAAACCAGGAGGTAGCTTCACGTAGACCTCTTCTGATAGATCGCCATGAAGAAACGCGTTGTTAACATCCAGTTGATGTATGAACCACCCTCGACTAACTGCAACTGCGAGCAAACATCGAACAGTGACCAACTTGGCCACTAGTGCATAAGTATCATGATAATCCACTCCCTCAATCTGCGTATATCCTTTTGCGACCAGGCGAGCCTTGTAGCGCTCAACTGAACCATCAGGGCGATATTTGACTTTAAACACCCACTTGCAATCGATACACCGTTTGCCCGGAGGGAGAGATAGCAAACTCCACGTACCATTTGCGACAAAGGCGGCAATCTCCTTGGCCATTGCTTCCCGCCAGCAAGCATGACGAACAGCTTCACGAAAGGAGGTTGGCTCACGAATTTTGTCAACCTCGGCCAAGTACGAACGATACTCGGGCGTCATGCGTGCGTAGGATACATGGTTAGACAGCGGGTAGTGAACATGAGACGCGGACTGTAAATCTGTCTCATAGATGTCGACTAGGTGTCGTGGGGACCTGCGCTCACGATCACCACGTCGAGGTGCAGCAGCGACCGGTGTGGGCAACTCTGTCGGGGAGGTAGTAGTGGACGGAGGCGCAGGGCGACGAACGTCTGGAGTCTGGGGAGACGAAGACTGATGGCCAGACGAAGGGGAACCCAGCTGCGCCCCCACTGGTGACAGGGGACGAGAGCTAGAAGCCTCGCCGAGGGGAACTGGCAGCTCATCTGACTTGGGCTGCGCAACGATGTCATCAACAAAAGTTGCTGGTGGTACCCAATGAAATTCCCGCGGATCTTGTGCCTGAAACGGGAAATAGGTCTCGTGGAAAAGGACATCACGAGAGACGACGATTTTGCGACTTAGCAAATCGTATACTTTGTAACCATTTTGAGTCGCGACATAACCCAGGAAAACCCCTGCTCGACCTCTGTCTGCAAATTTGTGAAGGTTACTGTGTGTATCCTTCATATAAACAAGACAACCGAACACTCGAAGGTGACTATACGAAGCGGGCTTGCCGAACAGAACCTCAAAAGGCGTTTTTCCAGTAGCTACAGTGGGCATCCTGTTGATTAAATATGTGGCGGTGAGAATGCATTCACCCCAAAACCGAAGTGGAAGACCTGCCTGAAAACGTAGAGCACGCGCAGTTTCAAGGATGTGACGATGTTTGCATTCGACGACCCCGTTTTGTTGAGGGGTATCGGTGCAACTGGTTTGTAAGACGATACCAGACTTCTCGTAGTATTCGCGCAGAGATGACGTTGAAAACTCATGCCCATTATCTGCTTGAATACGTTGAACTTTCTTACCAAACTGAGTGTGCACCATTTCACAAAATGCAACAATACATCGGCCAACTTCCGACTTAAATTTAATCAAGTAAACCCATACACTGTGACTGAAATCATCAACCACTGTCAAAAAATAACATGCCCCACTGAGAGAAGCCATCTGATAACCTCCCCAAATATCCATGTGCAATAACTGAAAACAATCCGAAGTCTTGATACTACTAGAAGGAAAAGGTAACCGACTTTGTTTTGCTCGTAAGCAAGAATGACAAGGTTCCTTAGTCGGAACGGCCGAGAAAGGAACAACATGACTAAGATGTGATAGCTTTGCCGATGAAGGGTGTCCGAGACGGCTGTGCCACAACTCTGCAGTCAACTTCTCTTTACCATCCGCAGCAAACACATAATTGTCATTACTCCCAAGCAGCTTCAAGTAATAGAGACCTTCACGGAGAATCCCTTCCCAATCACGCTCCTGGAGCGTAAGTCCTGAAGAACACACATATCACGAAGAAAAATCAAAGCTACATCATTATCTTTCGTCAATCTGCTGACAGACAATAAGTTGCAGCAGAACTCTGGTACGTGTAGAACTCGATCCAGCTTCAATCCTGTAGATAAAGTGACCGATCCCACACTTTTGACAGGAACACTATCGCCATTAGGTATCCTAACCGGCTGACTGGTTTGACTAACACCATCTCGACTCAACCAATTTTCATCGTTAGTGATATGTTCGTTACAACCAGAATCAATTAACCATTCGGAATCACTGAAAGAAGTACCTGCCATGTGTGCCGAGGGGTCAATGTGTGGAGATGATGCGCCAAAAAATTTCTTCAGCTGTTCGAGCTGGTCCATCGTGAACCCAGGAACAGGACTCACATCTGTCTTAGCTTGTGCAGCCTTGGGAGGTCCATCGGATTTATTGCGACGCCTCTTATCACCACGTTCACCTTGATTACTAGACTTGTTGCGGGGCGGCCAGCCGATCAAGTCATAGCATGACTCCTTGGAATGGCCGATCTTCCCGCAATGCAGACACTTAGCACGGCCGTCGGACGTGCGCGGGCCATCAGACGCGCGAGGACCACCCGACCGCTCTCCTTCATTCGTGGCTGCAAAAGCCGCAGCTTCAGGAGGAGCGCGCCGTTTCTGAGCGAGCAAACGCTGCTGCTCATCATTGGAAACCATATTGAAAGCTTCGGATAGAGTAGGGACCGGCTTCATGGCTAAAATTTGGCTTCGTACAGTGCCGAAACTTTCGTCTAAACCCATCAAGAAATCATAAAGCCTTGCACATTCCTCCTTGGTACGTATGCGCTGCTCTAATCCACAAGTGCATTGGCCGCAAATGCACATCTCTGCCGGCGACATTGACTGAGCTTCCTCCCAGAACGCCCTGAGCTGAGTATAAAAGGAAGACACCGACAATTTTTCTTGCCACAACGCGCTGATAAGTCGTCGTAACTCATAGCCTCTTGTGAGACTACCTTGACCGAATCTTTCTTTGAGATCCACCCAGACTTCACGCGCTGTTTTGGCGTATCGCACACTGCTTCTGACTTCTTTGTCCATAGCCATTCGAAGCCAGCTTTTGACGACTGCATTGCACCTATTCCAGGCGCGCAACTCAGGCTCCGTCGTAGGTCGAGGTATTGTTCCATCGACGAACCCGAACTTGTTCTTCACTACAAGTGCATCACTCATATCAACTACCCATTCACCATAGTTCGTTGGGGTCAGGACATCCCCAACGTTGAGTTGTCCCCCACAATCAGAGGGATCAAGATAATAGACCGACATAGGATCTGTGGACATCTCGGAGTTGACAGCTCCGTTCTTCATGCCCGTTCCATCCTTTGTACCCGACCCTGTGGGTTTCTTCCCATCATCAGAGTCACTCATGATCGAAATCAGTTAACCCAGAACAGCAGCGACTTAGCAGGACCGATGCTATGATACCATAATAAATCTAGCCTATGCAAACGAAAGAAAACGAGAGTTTTACGTGGTATCCTCGGTCGAGTATTGACCGAGACTAATCCACGGGAGAGGGCTGCCTCTCCGACTTGATCTTATTATTATTTGCCGCTAGGTTACACTGGCCGAATGGCCTACACACCTTTTATACTCCTCGTCTCCTAGGTTTACATAACATGAACGTGAACTCAAATTCAACCTAGGACAAGGACTCCTTGTCGTACAAGTAACAGCATGGAAACAACTTGTAGACAGGCCCGGGCCCACATGGGCTGACTTGGGCTCAACTTCATCCCGATCCAATAAACCAGGACAAGTTATGGTTACTATATTTTGTTTTAATATAAAAATATTTACTAGCGACTAATACTAACAGGCAAATTACATTTTGTCACATATTGGAATATTTGTAGAGACAGATATTAGTACATATAGAGACATATCGTAAATTTGTTGCGTTTAAGGTACTTTTAGAGACAGATATTGCATTTGTCTCAATACTTTAATCGTTATAGCCTGTTTTCCTTGTAGTGCATCTCAAGTTTCTCGACAATCCAATAGCGACGAACATGTGCATTGGGAGGAGGATCTTGAACAACGAATAGTTTGAACCAATTGTCTCGTTTTGAGACGATTGGACCAAATTGAATCGATTGTCAGCAAAAAAAATTGGATGGATCAATTTTGAATTGATCCATTTTTAGTCAATTCCAATTGTTTGAGGTGTAGCAGGTAATTCGACTTGACTCGTTTGAATGGACTCATTTATAAAATGAGACAATTGACCAAAATGTGTCATTTTTAAATTGATCCATCCAAATGACCCCTAAGACACCTAGATTGTTTGATATTTGCAATTGTGAATATTGATGTATTTAATGAATATATTGTTTAAATGAGTTCATTTTAATATTACAACGTTTGGTTATTGTAATCGTGATTTTATAAATTTAAAAGATAAAGTAATTTTTTTAAATAAGTCATATTTGCCCATATCTTGAGTTGGAGAGAGTAAGGCTGTTAATCGGTCTCCGGTTTTTCGGTTACCACCGAAACCGAACCGAAACCGTCGGTTTAATGACCAACCGAAAACCGTCAGTTGCTTGCGGTTTGCGGTTGCGGTTGGCTGTCACCGGCCGTGGGGAAATCAATTGTAGCGGTTAGCGGTTAAAAACCGCAACCGTACAAATTAACCGCAAAAACCGACCAAGACACTTAAACAGCGTCGTTTGGCCTTTTCCAGAGGGGACTCCCCTCCTCCCCTGACCTAAATGGCGAAATCGCACTTCGTTCGGCCTCTCCCCAGTCCCCTCTCACCCGCCGCTCCTCCCCATTTCTGACCTAATCCCTACCCTCGCCGCCAGTCGCCTCGTCCGGTCGTCCCCGTCAAGCTTGTCGGTCGTCGGCCGTCGCAGCGCCGTCCTCACTCCTCTCGCTCCCAGCCTTCGTCTCATCGCCGCCCTCCCGCTCCCAGCCTTCGCGTCGCCGCTGTCCTCCAACAGAAGTCGTCGTCGCCGAATCAACCTACTCCCTCTTCGTCAATCGTCGCCCCGTCGTCCTCAACCTCTTTCCTTCGCCGTCGTTTGCCGTCGTCCTCGATCTCCGATCTTCCTCCTTGTGCCTCCGGCGACGGATTCAGATCCAGATCCTCCTCTCACACTCTCTCCCCTTCCTCCCCCATCTACCTCGATTCGCGGTGGAATCAGCTCCGAATTCGCGGCGGACTCATATCTGATTTTCGGTGACATGCACATCGACGGTGGTGGTCGGAGTTGTTGTGTGTCGGTCTAAGAGCAACCGTCACTTCAAACCGAAACCGACGGTTGCGGTTGGCGGTTAACCAATCCTCCCTTCGGTGTCGGCTACGGTTGGGGAATACACCCTGTTTTCGGTGTCGGCTAACCGACGGTGCGGTTCGGTTAAACCGAAACCGCACCGACTAACAGCCCTAGGAGAGAGAATGAAAATTGGAAAGTTTGAGGAACGAAAAGGGAGACATGTTTAAAGTAAGAAAACTGGAATTCAATATATTAGAGGAACGAAAAGGGCAAATCACTTATCCTTTTGGCATCTTATTTCTCTCTTCCAACTACGCGCGTAAAACGCAAAAGCCGTATATATTGACCAACCCGACTAGCTAGCTAAAGATGACGAGGAGTGAATGTGGCTCTTCTTCTACTACACTACTACTAGTCTACTACAAGTGGGCATAACAAACCCACGTACCATTGTTGTCCACTAATTAATTTCATTCCTAAAACAGAGAGAAGCTTTCTGAAAGGGTGGAAGAAGGAAGCTTTGTTGCTTCAGGAAACGCGCACATATATATGCATGGTGATAGTGCATGAAAGGATGGCTAGCCAGTCACCAAATAGTTAGTTTGTTTGTAGAGCACATCTTTTGCGTAATCAACCTAGCTTGCTGTCATCAAGTCAAGGGCGAAGAATTATAGTACTGATCATGGGTAGCTAGCTATATATTACTGTTGTTCTTGATCATCAACTAGCTAGCAGTACTACTGGAGTCTGGAGGATCCACCACCGCATCAAGCAGCACTTGTTGGCTCCTATCCTTCATAAACAAGCAACTCAAGGCACCAACAAACATGAAAGAACTAAACACGAGCAGCGGCGTGCCCGCCGCAGTGATGGATTCGTGAGAGATGGGGATCACCTTTAGGTCAAGTAACCAATCCACTCCCAAACCGGCCGCTACGGCTAGGGTCACTCCAATGGCTCTAGCCGGAAGCATCAGTGCTTCCGGCCCGTAGAGCCAAGGGACTGGCCCAAGCCCTAACCCGGTCCCGGCCTCGAGCCCCAAGGAACCCGCTACGTAGCACCTGAACGCGGTCCCACGAGTGATACGACCGTGCTGGCTTGCGATCGCCGCTCCACCCAAACCCGCCATGGCCACCATCGTCGTCGACGTGCTGACCACCATCAGGGATACCCGTCCGTGGCCAAAACACCGGTCCAAGAGGAACGAGGCAAGAAGCGAGCCTAGCAACTTGGAGCCGAGTAGCATTTGGATCGCAGCCAGGTACATTTCTCGGGAGTCTTGCTTGTTTTGGGCAAGTGTCAGCCTGATGTAGCTCAGGAGAATGTACTCCCCCGATACCCGCTGGAGGGCTTGCTGCACGGCGGCTACCATGATGATCCCCCACGTCTCCCGGCGAGACAGCTGGCCCCACATTCCCGGTATCCCTCCGGGGGATGTCTCGTCCAGAACGGTGTCCCTCTCGGTCTCCTGAGAGATGCCAGCAGCATTCTTCAGCTGCCTCATCCTCGCTTCCACTTCAGCTGCTGGAGTTCTCAACTTGTCTTCGAAGAGCTGTCTGGCCGTCCGGACTCTGCCATTAATCACCAGGAAGCAAGGCGACTCAGGCATACGAAAGGCGGCAAGGACGGTGAAAATGAAGGACGCGACGCCAGGAATCGCCATCATGAACCGCCATCCAAGCGTCGATGCCACCTTCGAGAAGGCGTACTCCATCACGTACCCCATCATGGCTCCGAGGCAGAGAAACAACTGCATGCATGTAATTAGTAATTACTAATCAGTTAAAACGCGAGAAAACACGTACGACATCGTTTTTTTTTAGTTCGTACGTACGTACCTGCGGGATGGATTCCAGAAACCCTCGGTGGCGGGCCGGAGAGATCTCCGCAATGTAGACGGGCCCGATGGCGAGCCCAAAACCGAGGCCCACGCCCATGAGGCCTCGGCCGGCTTTGAAGCACTTGAACGTGTACCCGATGACGAGGACCGCCACGCCGACGGTATAGGCAAGTGCTCCGACGAAGAACATCTTTTGCCGGCCGATGGTACTCATGAGGAAGCCCGCTAGGAGTGCACTAAAGAAGACGAAGCCCCTAATGCTGTCCTCGAATCCATCAATGGTCTCCTCGAAGCTCTCCTGAATTTTGTTCTGGCCGTACAGTACTGCCACTTCTGAGATGATGGAAATAATTAAAAAGGAGAGAGAGAGAGAGAGAGAGAAAACTAATTAATAATTAATTAAGCAATCGAGATCGACATAATTTTACGGGAAAGCTGCCTGTCACATAGTGTACATGTAGCTAGATGGTGGTGATTAGCGCAACATATATACGTACCGTAGCCGAGAAGGAAGAAAGGGAAGGAAGCGACGGCCGTCGAGAAAAAGGCGAAACCATTTGGCACCATCACGATTCTTGTAGAAACTTTTATTATTGATCAACTGGAGAGTGGAGATCAGTTGGTTTGTATATAGAGAGTTCGGGGAAGAAAAGAGAAGAGAGAGTCAGAGTGAGTGAGCGGGAACTTATGTAACAGGTTCGTTACTCTAATACGTTGTTGTCCTTAAACGAAGGTGCAGGGTCTTATTTATAGAGCAAGTATAGCTAGACGTACGACGTGCATGTAGCTTTTAAGTTAAAGTGAGAACTAATTCCTTTCTCTCTCCCCCCTCCCTCCCTTGAACAGACTAACCTTTTGCTGAGCTTTGGTTGTAAGAAGCAAGCATCAAGCTCCTTTAAGCTCTCGGTATATTAATATTGTTTCATCAAATAGGGTTATCACGTAAAATTTTCGTGCGTGATAATTTCTCTTTTATGTTGTCAAAGAGAGGTTACTGGGAATTCACTACGCTATAGATTCACTCTCTATATGTTCAAATTAAGCGATGCAAACTAGTCCCAAGTGATTTTTCATTTACTACTATTAGCAGCTCAGGTTTGGGACGTGCGTTTGTCGTCACTAAAAAATTGGGAAAACTAGATAAATCATTTATTAATGCATAATAATCATATCATTATTATAATCTTCTCCATCTGATCATCAAGAAAATTAAATTAATGCAAAATCATAATCATAAGAAAATCACTAATCAATTAATCGACTTGGCGGCGTCGACTCCATGAGGGTCTGCGCTTGGAGGAGTGCATTTGTCGACGCACTTCTCGATGCACCAACTCCTCGACGAGGATTTGCATTGGGCGTAGCAATCATCGTAGCACTTCTGATCAAAGGCAGGATGAACATCGTTGTTACCAGTAACGTGATTGCCATTCAAAAAGACTTGTCGTCCTCCTCCTCCTTCCACCATCATCATCATCCCTAGAGTAACCATCACCATCATCAACATCAAACCCTTTCTGCCGCTCTCCATTTCTTCCAACGTAACCCTAAGATCAAAAGGTAGAGTGGAACAAGAAAAACCTCTTTTTTTTTTTCGCTCACTGATTTATCCTTCTAGGCTAGCTAGCTCTCTTGCTTGTTCTAGGAAGAGAGTGATCTTTTCTTTTATATATAGACGGCCATGGTTGGACGCATTAGGGAAGTCATGAATATGGGAGCGGGTGGGTTAGTATAGATTTGTATAAAGAATGGGAAACTAAATATTTATGAATGGTATAAAAGAATGAACGTACTAATGAAGGAATTAACCTTCCTTAGCTTAATTACTCATTGTGATTTGTTTTCCCATTTGATGATGCAAGTACGTTATGTTAGGTAGAGTAAGAGGAGGCTCCTGTCTGGTTTGGTATTTGACCGAATCGGTGTATTTAAGGATTGGAAGTAAAATAGAGATATAGAGATGATAAGGAAGAAGTGTAAGAAAAGAAATGTATTGATCCTATGATTTGATTTTGATTCTGTGGATTTATTTCTCTTTATTTTAAAAGATTTATAAACCAATCAAGTTAATAGAATCTATTTTTCACGCCTATTATATAAGGAAACTAATCTCACCCAATATATATATATATATATATATATATATATAAAAGGAAACTAATCTTGCCCGTCAAAAATATAGAATAAAATTATTATTGACGATCCGGACCAGTTCGCAGGAGAGTTGAAACACTCTCCAACTATTAATTTTCTTATTGATTGGATTATTTGGCCGAAGCGAGTACACGAATACATGATCTAGCCTATTTCACAAGATTTAACTAGGGTTATTGTTTTCTCCAATAATTGACCATCCATCACCACCACCAAATCCACTTTCCCCTAACCAGTAATATTCGTCCTCCTTCCTTTCAGAGACGGCCTCCTTGAAAATGGGGATGCAACAAAGGCTAACCCTAAATTAACTAAAGAAAAAGAAACAGAGTGCTTGTCTCTAACTCCTAGCCTAGCTCACAAAAATATTCTTTGAAATGAATAAGCTTGAAAGATTTGCTTATTAGGCTAAAGCTCTTATGTGCCCACTTTGACGTCGGAATCGCATTCCGTGGTGGTTCTGGGAGGTGTTCTTATCTTTCGGGAACCGTTTTGAAGTCTCACCATATATAGAAGGGGAAAAAGTAGTCAGAAAAGAAACAATGAAAGATGAGAAAAGGTTTTCTTAACATATGCTTTACTTGAAAGTTGAAAGGCCACACTGCCTGCCGCTTATGCAATGTGTGTCTCAAGGCTCAACTTTTGCTACCCTTTTTGGCAGTGGCTGCATACGAAGAACGAATTTGTGACCACAGGATAAGTATTAGCGACCAATATGATGCTTTAGTGAACATAATCTGTTGGTCGCCTCGCCAGAGAAACTCTTATATGCCCCCGCCATTTCTGGTGAGCGCCCTGCCTACAATTTGAATCATCTAAGCCATGATACTTATATTATATGGGCATGGAATGTAGTTAAATTGGAAATTAAAAGAATATGGTTCTGGAATCTCAAATTGTATATGACGAGGCTAGCTAGCTAGCTATATATATGCATGTCACTATTATGTACAAAAAATAGTGTCCGGAATAAAGGTTTGATTTATGTCAGGATAAAGATCATTCATATTAGGCTAAGTAAAGCCATAGTCGCCACTACACTAGACTACTTTGAAGGAATTATGCATGCACATGCACGTATATAGAATAGTGCCAATTTTGGAGTCCCCTTATCCTCGAGGAAACATTTGTAGCTTCGCCGGAGAAGGAAAAAAGTGGAGGTGGGAAAGGAATAAAGACTCGAAATTTGTAATCTAATTGGGGGAGCATGATGAGCATTACTATCAACACAATTTTAGGTATGAGAATCTTTCATTCGGGTGCAAGGTCTCGTGTTTGAGTCTTTCTAAATTTTAATTGTATCTACGTACGATCCTAATATTTGTTCAATGCCGGCTCTTTGACCCCTGTCGGCGGAGGATGTTCTTCTTTTAAAGTTTTTCCTTCTCTTGACTCACATTGCCACAATTAGAGCTGATAAGAGGTTATATTATGGATAAACCGAACTGATCGATTGGTTAGCCCACACTGATAAGAGGTCAAAACAGTCAATTCAATCGATAGTTGAGACGGTTAGCTGTAACTGCTAATCGTGAACTTTTAACAGTTTCAATTTTTTTTCGGGCTAACCGATTAACCGGCAACCGATTATCAGCCATAACGACACCGCACGATTGATCGAGAAGTTCCAGATACGCCTCTGGTTAACCTCCGGTAATTATTTATACTCATGTCAGTTTCATGTGGGCCTCCGGTAAGCCTCGGGGATTGTTCACCTACGTTATTTGGGCTTGGTGCTAGGCCCATTTTCAATTTTCATTTCAGGTGTGATTATGGACAAAACCGAGTAACTTGTAGGCCCATTTTCAATTTTCATTTCACGTGTAGCTGCGGGCAAAACCGAGTAACTTCCCATCCCAGCCCGATCCGAACTCCTCCACGGCTCCACCCTCTGGTTCAGCTTCATCGGTTCTCATACTAGAATACGCAACTGAACTTCACTGGAGTCGACTTGGGAAGAGGAAGAAGAAGAAGCAGGAAGATGAAAATGGCGTCAATCTGAAAGTTGATCTCCCTCGCTTTTTCCCACGGAATTGATTTAGAAGTTCGCATCTTTTCTTGTTTCCCACTCCGGATCGGCCCTTCTAATGGCGTCCCGGATTGGCGGCTGCCGCCGTCCGTTTCTCCTTCTCTTCCTCCTCTCCCTCGCTTCCCAGACAGCTTTCTCGTGGAAGAAAGACGAGTTCCGAAACTGTAACCAGACCCCATTCTGCAAGCGCGCTCGCTCCAGGAAACCCGGCGCTTGTACCCTAATCGCCGATCAAGTCTCCATTTCCGATGGCCTGCTCACCGCCAAGCTAATCCCTAGGCCGATTGCCAGTCAGGAAGAGGGTGAAGAAAATCAACAGATCGCCAAACCTCTGCTTCTCTCCGTCGCGATTTACCAAGGTGGAATCCTACGCCTGAAAATTGATGAAGACCCGGCCCTCGACCCGCCCAAGACCCGGTTCCAAGTTCCCGAGGTGGTCGTCTCCGAGTTTGACGAGACCATGCTCTGGCTGTCTAGGGTGTCGACCGAGATCCTCGACGGCGATTCAGCTCCTTCCTCAGTCGTCTATTTGTCAGACGGATACGAAGCTGTTCTTCGACACGATCCATTTGAGCTTTTTGTGAGGGAGAAGTCAAGTAAGTCGCGTTTGGTTTCGTTGAATTCTCATCAGCTGTTCGATTTCGAGGAATTGAGGGTTAAGAATGAAGGGGAAGAGTGGGAAGAGAGGTTTAAAGGTCATACAGATACCAGGCCTTATGGTCCTCAGTCAATCAGCTTCGATGTATCATTTTACGGTGCTGAATTTGTCTCTGGTTTGCCTGAGCATGCTACGAGCTTAGCTCTGAAGCCAACTAAAGGCCCGGGAGTTGATGATTCCGAGCCTTACAGATTGTTCAACTTGGACGTGTTTGAGTATCTCCAAGAGTCGCCTTTTGGTCTCTATGGATCAATCCCATTGATGATTGCTCTTGGTAAAAGTGGGAAGAGCTCTGGGTTCTTCTGGTTGAACTCGGCTGAGATGCAGATCGATGTGTTGGCCGAAGGATGGAATGCAGATTCAGGACTATCCCTTCCTTCTGATCAGAAGAGAATCGATACATTATGGATGAGTGAGGCAGGGATAGTGGATGCTTTCTTTTTCGCAGGCGCGGGTCCTAAGGACGTTGTGAGCCAATACACAGCTGTGACTGGGAAGCCCGCAATGCCACAACATTTTGCCACAGCTTATCATCAATGCAGATGGAATTACAGAGATGAGGAGGATGTGGAGAATGTGGATGCCAAGTTTGATGAGCATGATATTCCTTACGACGTTCTGTGGCTGGATATCGAGCATACGGATGGTAAGAGGTACATGACATGGGATTCGGTTATGTTCCCGCATCCCGAGGAGATGCAGAAGAAATTGGCAGCCAAAGGAAGGCACATGGTGACCATTGTTGATCCTCATATTAAGCGGGATGATAATTATTATATACACAAGGAGGCTTCAGAGAAAGGGTATTATGTGAAGGATTCGAGTGGAAAGGACTTTGATGGGTGGTGTTGGCCTGGGTCATCTTCTTACTTAGATGTGTTGAGTCCTGAAGTGAGGTCGTGGTTCAGTGACAAGTTTGGGTTTGATAGCTATAAGGGTTCAACTCCGTCGCTGTATATTTGGAATGATATGAACGAGCCTTCCGTGTTCAATGGCCCAGAGGTAAGCTACTTGTCATCTGTCCTTTTTCTGTTATTCATTTTGAACAATTTTTTTGTATTCTGAAGCATACGCAAATATTAGAGAATGAAATATGAGGCATGATTATGTTATTTTGTCCCCAATAAAATGCTTACCATTGAGTTGTTTTAGTTGCTCATTTACAAAAAAGCGAAGTTTAAGCTTACGAGGTCTTCTGTCTAGCATGAGAAAGCATTCTGTAACTTTGTCGGGGTGTTTGTGATAAGGTAAAAAATTAATTGATAGTAACGAAAGTGCCAAATGGTGTAACTGTTGCGTCACAGAAAGCATTACAAATCAAGCTACATAGAATAGGCGATGTTGAGTTGAATTGTGTCATCTTTGTTTCTTTCTTGAAATTTTGTGTCTTGAACTATTTTTCCTAGCATAGGCTTCACAGGCGGGCGTCATCTTACTGATAATTCACATCATTTATCCAAAAGGATTCAACTTTCGCTCTTGCAAATTCCTTACCTGCCATTAACAAGACAAAGCTTATATTTTATGAACTAATTATATATCTTATAGAATACGTATGACTTGCTTATTTTGGCTTAGTTTTCCAATCATTTTGCCCATTGTCTATTGAAGGGTACTGTGTACCTCCACATCGTTCTTTTCATTATCACTTGTGAATTGGTGAAAACGGTGACTACAGTTTCTTTGCAGTATAACTTATTCTGTTAGTAATATGCGCAGACATCATAACAAACTTTGTTCCCTTTATGAGGCTTAGTTAAAATTGGTAACTATTGAAAAAGGGAAACACTTCAGAGTTAATTGTTCATTACTGTCAGATTTCAATGCCAAGGGACGCTTTACATTTTGGGGGAGTGGAGCATCGGGAATTACATAATGCCTATGGCTACTTCTACCATATGGCAACCTCAAATGGCCTTGTCAAGCGTGGAGATGGAAAAGACAGGCCGTTTGTTCTGTCTAGAGCATTCTTTGCTGGAACTCAGAGGTTTGGATCTGTCTGGACAGGGGATAACACGGCAGATTGGGATCACTTGAGAGCATCTGTTCCGATGATTTTGACCCTTGGTTTGTCCGGAATATCATTCTCGGGTAAGTTTTACTGCTTTTCTGTGGTGATTTGTTTGTCCTTGTCATTTCATTGTTCATTTCTTATTAAGGATATCTTCTTATTCTACCATTTAGGTGCCGACGTTGGAGGGTTCTTTGGAAATCCGGAGCCAGAGTTACTAGTACGGTGGTATCAACTTGGTGCTTTCTACCCTTTCTTTAGGGCCCATGCTCATCAGGACACGAAAAGGCGTGAGCCTTGGTTATTTGGGTACGATATCTTTGACCCTGTATCTGAACCTTAATCATTTCCTTCAATTCCTTTCATCATAGTATGGTACGCTTTCTGTTGCCTTTCAATTGATTGCAGAGAGCGAAATACGAAGCTCATAAGACAAGCCATACATGTCCGTTACATGCTGCTTCCATATTTTTACACGGTGTTCCGTGAGTCAAACACTACTGGTCTCCCCATTATGCGTCCTCTCTGGATGGAGTTCCCTTCCGATGAGGCTACCTTTAACAATGACGAAGCTTTCATGGTTGGAAGCAGCCTCTTGGTCCAAGGGATTTATACAGAGGTTCTGCTTATGACAGACCTTTTTTCTTGACACTCATACTTAATCTGTTTCATTTCTTTTTACTGACCTGTCATTCTGTGCAGCGAGCGAAACACGTTTCAGTTTACCTACCTGGGAAAGAACTATGGTACGACCTCTTGAGCGGAAGTCAGTACAAGGGGTCTCAAACTCACAAGCTAGTGGCCTTGGAAGATCGAATTCCTGCATTCCAAAGGGCTGGGACTATCATACCCAGGAAAGATCGTTATCGTCGGAGCTCCACACAGATGGTCAATGATCCTTACACTCTGGTATGCACTTATCTTCTCGTAAGCGATCAGTTCTTCTGTAATCCATCCATCTGGTATTTATGTCTGAGCCTGAGCTGGTACTGTTGTTTAGGTGATAGCTCTGAACAGTTCTCGAGCAGCTGAAGGGGAGCTCTACATTGACGATGGGAAGAGCTTCGAGTTCCTGCAAGGAGCCTACATCCACCGACGATTCGTTTTCTCGAATGGAAAGCTCACATCTCTAGACCTGACCCCTAACAACAAGTCGTCGAAATTCACCTCACAAACCGTCATCGAAAGAATCATACTCCTGGGATACTCTCCTGGACCGAAGAACGCCCTGATCAAACCCAGGAATGAGAAGGTTGAGGTGGGACTTGGGCCACTCGTGCTTGAAACCGGCCTTGGATCTTCTTCCTTGGTTGTAACCATTCGGAAGCCAAGTCTCCCGGTGGACAAGGACTGGACTGTAGAACTCGTGTGAGAGCTGACATCTTCATGCATGAAAAGAGACCAGAAACTGAAAGAAGGCGAAGAAAGAATCTCTCCAAGTTGCTGAATGGAAATTTTTGTGTAATGTAACTATCCTTGTTCTCCCTTTCCCTTTTTGAGGGATACGAGAAGAAAAAAAGGACCCAATTTTCAGCAACACTTGTTCTACTTAGAAGCATGAGCATACAGATTCAAGTTTCAGAGAGCTCTAAGATTGAATCATCAGACAGTAGATGAGTTTTGACTCGCAGGACATTTCTCTCTTGTATGTCATCCTGGAGGTGTAGCTCTCCCATCCCATACTGTTCATTTTAGGTACCAAAAGTTGAACTGAAGTCTTCCATCTGGTTTTCTACCAATTTGATCCCAAAGTGAACTCAACCAAAGAAACTAACAGATAAAGTCACATGAACTGGAATTCCATCCGTTCATACTCTCTTTACCACACCTAATCAATGTCTAGATATGGAGTGGTTTCTGAGAATCCCCATTAGAAGTTAGAACCTTCCTTCCTAGTCCTACACGACAAAAAGTCAAAGAAGGAAGCCCCTCCTTGGTGTAAAGTAAAGTAAAAACACTCTTTCTCCTCAATTTCCTCCATGCCCAATAGTCAAAGAAGGCAAACCCTCCAATACCGTGTTATTTATTTCCTCTCCCTGACCGAATCAAACTCGACAAACCCACGCCTCTCTATTTCAAAGTCGTCACCAACAAACCTGACCATATAGCACTTATATCTATATAACGTATACAAGACTTTTGGTAACCATAACATCATCAGCTAGCTTTCCTATATATCACCACCCAAAGAAATCAAACTGAACACACCACCACAATGACGGACCAAAACAAGAAGATTCACCCGGTGACCAACCAAGAAGACATAGAGGCTGCCGTCCCGACCGCGCCACTCGTCCCCCGTGGCTCCTCCAAGTCCGACCACGGCGACCCAGCCGCAGCCGCTGCACCACCACCGCTACCATCCTATCCTATTCCCTTCAACAGACGCTCCAAGCCACCAAAGTCAACCAGACCACGCCGCGGCTGCACCTGCTGCCGCTGCCTCTGCTGGACGCTCTCCATCCTCCTCGTCCTCATCATCGCCGTAGCCGCCACGGCCGGGATCCTCTACCTAGTCTTCCGCCCCAAGCTCCCCGACTACTCCATCGACCGCCTCGAGATCACGCAGCTCACCCTCCGCAACGACACCGCCACCGCGGCCGCCAGCCTGGCCGCCGCGTTCGACGTGACGATCACTGCGCGGAACCCGAACAAGAGGATCGGGATATACTACGAGGGAGGGAGCAGGATCGGGGTGTTCTTCTCCGGGACCCAGCTCTGCCAGGGGGCTCTGCCGAAATTCTACCAGGGACACCGCAACACGACGGTGCTGAACGTGCCGCTGGCCGGGGAGAGCAGGGACGCGGCGGCGCTGTTTGGGGAGATGCAGAGGGAGCAGCAAGCGAATGGGTTTGTTCCGCTGGATTTGAGGGTGAGGCAGCCGGTGAGGATTAAGGTTGGGAAGCTGAAGCTGATGAAGGTGAGGTTCGTGGTGCGGTGCCGGCTGAATGTGGATAGCTTGGCGGCGAATAACAGGATCCGGATTAGGAACAGCAGCTGCAACTTCAGGTTGAGGCTCTGAATTTTTGGTTTAGTGCATTGGATTTCGTATACAGTCGAGTCGAGGTCACTTTTTTTTTTTGGACGTCCATTTTTATTTATGATTTTTATGATTACGTATGTAATTAGTATTATTATTATTGTTGTCACTTTTCATGTACGATCATACACATACAGGCCCTACATATTATGAATATACATGGAGATTTATTTTTGGCCTTATTAATTTGAATTTTCGATTGAATATCATTATCAGTTAGTATCATATTTCAGTACTTTTTGTGTTTGAATCGGACCAGACATCTAATTTTAAAAGCAAGCAATTCAAGGTTTGGTGGTTATGGGAAAAAAGTCTCTTGTTACAAGTCACACCATGAATATTTTTGTAGTAGAATGTAAAATTTATTCATGTGACAAATAATTGATGTACCGTTATCGTTTAAAGTTCGTGAATTTGATTAAGTTTTCCATAAATAACAAGCCAAATAATCGGGGGTCTCTATGAAAAATGGATTGGTGGATTCATTGATCATATGGATTGGTGGATTGGATCATAGATCCAAGTGACATATGAACATTGGAGTAATATGTAAATTTCAAAAACTTTAGAATCTAAAATGTCAGCATAAAACTTTACGTACCAAAACATCATTTTTCAATGATATTTTACCTTAAAAGTAAATTTAGGTACCAAATTGTAAAGTTTAAAAGTATAGATACTGAATTGTGATTTGCCAACAATCCATAATCCACCAATCCAATTTGATTTGGATCAAATGGATTGATTAATTGGATGTTTTAGTGGATGAAATGGATTGGATTGGAGAATTGAATTGAAATTATTATTTTTTTAGATAAGGGTGATATATGTTACTTTTTTGTTATTATGTACTACTTAAGGGATTCGAACCTGAGACATCTAAGTTCAAAGCAAGTGGTATTACCATTTACCACTAAACCAAGCCCTTGTTCGTTGGATTGTATTGAAAATTGCCATCGTAGTCTTAAGCAAACTCATTGTTTGAAGTTTGCACATCCTCGTTGCCGTTATATCATGTGCTTAAACCAACGGTTCAAAATTAGTATTTTCCCATATAGTCGTAGTTACTAAATTAAATTCCTCAAATATCTAAGATTAGATAGTGATTTCATGGTACTTCACCCCCAGCCAACTACACTCTACTGTGACAATCAAAGTGCTATTAACATTGCAGAGAACCCTACCTTCCATGAGCGCACGAAGCACATAGAACTTGACTGCCATCTTCTTCGTGGAAAGCTCCCATCGAAGATCATCAAGCTACTCCATGTCTCTTCTTCCCATCAGCTGGCGGATCTCTTCACCAAGCCACTACCTCCAACTCCATTCCGCTACCTTTTCTCCAAACTGGGTGTGCGTAATCTATGCCCATCAGCTTGCTGGGTGTACCAGACCCAATTAAAATTCAAATCAGTTCCAAATAGTCAAGGCGAAGACGACGCATGAAGGAAGAGAAAGGAGCTCTAAGTTAATAAGCACCATTTATATGCAACGGTGTCATTTGTCTTATATTTCAAGCATTTGTTTGCTTTTTCACATCAAGTTTATTAAGTTTCTTTTTCAAGTAAAGAAAACAAAACAACAAATATGAAGCAAGCTGGCGAAGGTTGTCTTGTAGTAGCCAAACTTCACATATATATTGCAAACAGGACAATGAGAAAAATCTAAGCCCTAGGGTTTCACTTCAGCAAAAGTTTGTTACCACGCATAAGGAATCAAACCAGAAAGCGTATGCCCAGAAAAACACCTTCATCCTTTTCTCCGCACTCATATCAGTTGGGCTATGTAAGCATGATGGCACCTTGGATTGGATTCATAGAAGGCGCAGATGGTCGCCCATGGATTTAGGCCGGAGCAAAACATCGAATATGATGAAACTTTTGCTTTCATTGTTAAGATTCCTATTGTTCGTTGCTATCTAACTGTGGCTGCTATGGAAGGGCTGGTCGTTCGGTTAGCGGTTACCGGTTAACCGGCCGGTTAAACCGATAACCGCCGGTTACCGGTTAACCGACTAACCGAAAAATGGGGCGTCGGACGGTTGGCGGTAGCAGCTCTTATTGTGCCGACTAACCGGCCAGCTAACCGGCGATTGAAACGACGCCGCAGTGCCGCACCCTCACTCTCCTGTCTCCCAACCCTAATCGAAGGCAGCCCTCCTCCTACCTCTGCAATTGTCATTTACTGCCCTGCAGCAACGGCGTTCTCCGGCAGCGACGCGTCGCATTTCCCGTCGAGCTACATGTTCGCGGCGGCAGGGGAAGGGATATGGGACAATGGGGCGGCCAGTACAAGCTGCGGTGTCTCAGCGCGGTGGCGGCCGGATCGTGCAAGCCCGACGAGACGATTGAAGTCAAGATCGTGGATTACGGCCGGGGCTTGGTGTCTCCCGGGTCGGCGGCGGGGACCACCATCGTGCTGTCGCAGACGGCGTTCGAGACCGTCGCGAATTGGACCGCTAGCCGGAGTATCAACATTGAGATCCAACAGTAAGCCTAGCAAGAAACCATGCTCTATTTTTTTCTCTTTTCTCAATTTTGATCGAATTCTCTGTTTCTGTTTTAAATCTCTTGGGGTTGGAACTTTCCGTTGCAGGGGCTTAATTATGAAGAACAGTAATGGAGATGGAGTGGGTCTACTAACTTTCCTCGAGGATTCCCAAATCGCGGAAAAGGAAACCATGTCCTGGATTGGATTGTAACTGGCGATAACTATGAGGAAAGTTTAGACCACAATTGAGAAATCCATTAGCATCAGCTTTCTTGGATATGAAATTCTTTCATTTGGTGTATAGCTAACAAAGCGGTTTCCTTTGCATGCCGCGGTTACTTCGGTTAACCGGCCAACTAACCGGTAACCGACCGGTCGGTTACCGACTAACCGAAGCTTTTCTTTGGTCGGTTGGCGGTAGTCGCATAGCCTATGGTTATCAAAGAGGGGTCTTTTGGAGAATATGAGTTTAAATCTATAGATTGTCAACAATCTAAAGATTCTAACTCATCGGATTGTTGAAAATAGATTTTAAAATGTTTATTGTTTGGTAACTGTGATTGTTAACATTCAAAGAAAATAAAAATTTTATAGTAAATAACATGTTTATCCTTAATAAGAAATTAGATTGGTTCGAGAAATATTAAAAAATTTGTTCATAAATATATTTAATTTGATAAATAAATAAAAGAAAAAGAAAAAGTAGGAGAAAAAAAATCTCATGAATCAAGATATAGAATCTCTCTGATTATGAGAGATTTGATATCCATAGATTTTTTAGATTTGAAATCCCTAAAGCTAAAATCCACATTACAAAAAGCAACAAAAAAAAACATGACTCTCTACAAAATCTACGGATTCAACAAATCCACGCCCTGAATCCTATTCTTCAAACGACCCCAGAGTTTGACCGAATTCCTTTCCTCCGAGTTTATTTGGCTGACATTGATGTGATGTTAGGTGCCACTTCACTCAATGTCTATAATGGTATGAGAGTATTGATATGATATTGGAGTTGGTTTGATCTCTATGTCTCGTGTTCAGATTCTCACGATCTTAAATATTAATACTTGATTGAAACACATTTGTATGGTGGGTCTACGTGCGAACTTCAAGTTCATGAGTTGTTTTTCTTTGGAGAGACTGTGTGTAAGGAAGTGATTAATATTCATACATGGGCAACTCCCAATTAGTTAAGTTATTGGGATCGATTGGTTTATAACACAATCATGGTTTGGAAAATGCGCTCTTAAACTCACACTTAGACATGCCTAGCGTTAGGCAACACGTACCAAAACGCCTCACGTTGAGTATTCCGTGGCGATTTAGGTACCGAAAACACGTCGACAAAGGATAATAAGATGAAAATAAGCATGCAATGTCAAATGGGGGAAGTAACGACACCTGCAAACTCAATCTTTTATATACATTTTTTTGGTAGCTCTAGATCTTTGTAAGTTAATGAATTATGATTCTATGAATTTGTGAACTAGTAATTTTCTTGTTAAGTTATTAATCATTAAAAGTGAAGCGGACAATTGTTGCAAATTATTATTTCATTTATTATGTCGAATAAATTGATATTTTTTACTTTTAGCGTCTAAACTAACTTACGAAAAGCCTAAACGAATTACGCTATTGTTGCTTCCAAAAGTATCCCTCTTTGTTACCACCCGGCACCAGCCGCTTCCAACACATTGCTGTTGAGAGAAGCAATCGACAATTTACTAAACATAACACGATTTAGTAATTCCAGTGACCAAATGTGGCATTTACCCGTTGGATCTTAGTCCCATGTATGGTACTTAACCACTTTTTTACACGTCTCCTCGAACGAAAGCCGACTCATAGGCTTGAAATTTGCACATGCCCGCCATACCATGTGTTTGAAAGACAAAGGTTAATATTTGAGGTCGTGAGGAATTGAAAACGCGACCTCAAGAACAAACCAGCTCTGATACCATGTTATAAACCAGTCGGTCCCAATAACTCGAACTATTAGGAAAAGATTATGCTGGATCTTATAAATATTCATACATAATACTTAACCACTTCCTTACAAATTTAGCCAATGATTTCGGTATTGAGGATTTGGACTCAAACAATTATTGTTGTTTTATGATCGGCGGAATAAAACTTCGAATGGGTATAATGCCGACAGAAAGAAAGATGAGAAGGCGCGAAATGGTTAAGAGCAAGATGACAACAAAAGGATGAAAGCCCACCTCTCCGATCATCGCTCGATCATCAAATGGACGGAACCTTCAACCACTCGTGGGCTCAAAACGTATCGATCGACGACAATAATATCACAGCCGGCACATTCAAACATATTTAACACATGGAAACTATTACTATAAATGGATAGATCGAGAGAGAGACAGTGAGACAAGACTCAGAAGAGACAGAGAACGACGTCCGACGTTCATCACAGTCGTATATGGAGGTGGATATGGTTGGAGAAGAAGGAAAGGGAGGAGCTTTGAAGACGGCCGCGGCGTCGTTTTGGGCGTGGTGCAACGTCAACGATAACAAGAAGGCGTATGGAGCCGTGATATTAACCCGGCTGATCTACGCCGGAATGTTCTTGGTTCAAAAGGCGGCGTTCGACGGCGGCTTGAACCCGGCGGTCTTCGTCTTCTACCGGCAAGCCTTCGCCACCCTCTGCCTTGCTCCTCTCGC